TGAAGATGCTTTGTTGAAGGATGTCCACGACGGGCCCAACGTCCGCGACTGTAGCCTGAATAACTTTTAGCGCGGAATGTGCTGAGTAAATTTTAGATCCGATGTCCCGAATCCATGCCGCCATGAATTTGACTGCCTTCGGGCACGACGCCTCCCGATTCTGCTCTAGGTCTGTGTATCTTCTCGACAGGGCCTCCTCCCTGCCCGCGTTAATGTTTGTGAAGACGGCATTGAAGTTCTGATGCTGGATCAGCTGCTCTACTACTTGCGCTGGCACGCCTTGAGCTGCCGCAGGAGGCGGAATGACTACATTGTTCTGGTTGTTTTGGATGTTGTTGTTTGGAATGTTGGCAGGCAGGATTTGGTCAGCCATTGCGCTGATTACGCAAAGTGTTGTAGAGAAATTAAAAGGTTTATAATGACAGTATGAACCTAAGGTCACGAAACGGCGAATAGCCAAAACAGAACGCAGTTCAGTGTAATATCCATACTGAAAACAGTACGACAAGTACAACGAGTAACATCTTCGTCCAAGAACCCGCCTTCTCGCAACGAGAAGTCTACGCATACATACACACACACACGCACACATTAGAACCCCTTATGCTCAGGGCGTGTGGCTAACGACCCAGGGGGGGGTCGCTGAACCATCATCTTGATGACCCAACCCCCCCCCCCCCCAGCCGGACCCGCGACTGCCCCCCGAGCCCCGTCAACAGATGCCTGTGCGTTTCTAACCCCTGCACCCTCCTCTATCTTCTTGCTGGATCTGTCGCCCTGGTTCGATTGGGTGGATGGCTAACGGCTAACTGAACGAGCAGTAAGTGATGAGGTCTCAGGGCTGGCTGCCGGGGCCCCTACATACCCCCGTGTCACCCGAGCCCCCGCAGGATAATGCTGACGCTGCGGCTGCTACTGCCGGTACTGCTGCTGCTGCCGTTGCTGCTGCTGCTGCTGATGATGATGAAGAGGTCGCGCTGGCTCGATGGCTCCGTTGCTGCCACCGCGAGTATGTCCCTAAGCAAGTGGTTGCTGCATCGGCAGCTCCGTGCTCCGTCTACTTCGCCCTATTCGCCTTCCAGATGAAGGCCGAAGCGGCGTTGGCCGCCGCGTGCGCCAGCGCCGGCACCCAGACGTTGCCCGTCACCAGGAACGCACCGCCGTACAGCGCCCCGACGGCGGCCGCCCAGGCGGCGAATGCGGGGTTGCGGCCGCCTGTGTTGTGCAGGACCCCGAACAGGGCCGCTGACAGCAGCAGACCCCGCCAGTCAGGGAAGGTGGCGGGCAGGAGAGCGCCGCGGAACAGCAGCTCCTCAGGTATGCCACTGGCGGCCGCTACCAGCAGGATGTCAAAGGAGCCCAGGGGGGTCAGCACCTGTGTGCAGTTTTGAAGGGAGGGGGGCCTTGTCAAGTGAGTGAGTGCTGAGAAACTGGGGGAAAGGAATAAGACGGCTGCAGTGAGAGCAGCTAGCTGGGTACGAGGGGTGTGTAGGGGAGGGAGGGGGGTGTTAGGAGGAGGAAAGGAAACCTGCGGGGTTCGAGGCATGACGCAGCAGCGTGGGAACTGAAAAAAGGACAAGCCGTGCGGGCGTGGGGACGTGGCATGGCACTGTCTCGCCGGTGGGTGATGATGATGGTGCAAGATGCAAGGAGCCAAGTGCCGGTTAGACGGGGCAACAACAAAGTTTAGCCAAGTGCCGGTTAGACGGGGCAACAACAAAGTTTAGCCAAGTGCCGATGTCCACAGCAGGGGGCGGCCAGCAGGTCGGAAGGCCGGAACGCCAAAGCATTCCAAATCAATAAAAAGGGACGGCCCCTGCTGGTGGCGGGATGATGAGGTGATGGCACGCAAACCCAAACTCCTCTGGTGAGCCCAATGGGGCTGCGGCCTAAGCCCTACAGGCACCGCATCCTGGCGGCCTCGTACAAGGAAGGCGGGAATGCGGCCCAGCCCCCTGGCTGGTATGCCTCCCTCTCTTCCTTCCCTCCCTCCCCTTCCTCCCTCGCCGACAACCTGAATCAACCCGGCAAGCGTGGCCTCAACTTGCTCCCCTTCAATTTCCTGAATGGAGAAGCTAAACATGCAAAAACATGGAGCGAAGCAATCCCCGTGCTCCTATCCCCGCGTCCCAACACATCTTACCCCGGGCAATGCTCCTGCAGTTCAGGGGGAGGCCCAGTGGCCCAGTGAGGTGAGGCCCCCACTGGCCAGCGCTAAACCTAACCAACCGCACACAGCCCCATCCCCCCCCGCCATAACCCCCCCTTAGTTTCCCCTCACCCACACCACCTGCTGGTTGGATCGGTCCGTCGCCTCACGCAAGTCACTCCACACCGCCAGCAGTGCAAGCCGCGCCCCCGTCACCGCCGCCGCCGCCCCCGCCGCCACGGCCACATCCGTCAGGGACTCCAGTCCCGCTGGCCACCTGAGGAGAGCCTCCACCGCCGCCGGGTCGGTTCCCATGGTCGCCGCGCTGTTGAGCGAGGCGTAGTTGCGGACAAACACCGCCAGAATCGCCATCCAAAATCCCGTACCCAACGCGCTGCTTAGTACGGCATTACGAGAGACTGCAGGAAGCAGCGGCGGCTGCGACGACGGGTCCGGTTTCAATGCGGCGGCTAACGCCGGCGCCGCCGGCTCTGCTTGCGTACCTGCCGTACTATTAGCCCCCGCGGCCCCCGCGGCGGCGGCAGCTTCTGCCTGCACCTCCGAAGCCGTCCGCATGAAGCCAGTGCGCGGGTTCCATCGGGGCACGTCGGATGTCCCGCTGGTGGTGGCGTCGTCCGCTTGGGCCCCCCGCCGGTCCTCATCTTCGTCATCCCAGCGCCAAGGAGCGTCGGAGGCAACCAGGGACCCCGGTTTGGGCGCGAATACGGGGTAGATTTCCCCGGGCGATAGAGCTTCTGCCGACATGGGGGTGTTGCGGGTGGGCCGGGTGAGCGTATGCAACGGAAGTCAGGCGGGCAGGCAGGCAGGCAGGGAGGGAGGCGGTGAGGCAGGTTGGCTGCAGGGCATTGCGCTGGACGATGAACGACGCAATAGTCGTCGCCGATGGTGATGCGCGCCGCCTTCTCCCCCGCCTTCCCGCCCACTTGCTCACGGATGGGCGGAAGGCTGGCAACCATGATCTTGGCCCCAGGGGTGCGGTTAACACGCCGCAGCAAGTGGCAGGGGACGATGTGATCCGGGGATATGGCACAGGAATAGAATCGCGGGCCGTAGAGAGCAAGTGGAGGTATTCTTCCGAAGGGCAGGGTGGCGGTCGAGGATTGCGGGTACGGAGAGGGGAAACATATTGCGCACCTTGTTGTCGGCGAGGACGGCTGCTAGGTGAAGGCGCCTGAGGGAGATCCTGTTCCAGAGCTTCTGCGGAGAGAAGGGCTGCATTGAGCCGGGCCAGGTCGGGCTGGCGGAGTCAAGGCTTAAGCGCCACACACCTATGGCGATGCGCGGCTTGGTGGTATCTGGTCGATCGGCAGGTTGATTTGTCTGTTGTCTGTTGTTTCGTTTCGCTTGCTTGCGAGCGTATGCAACCAATCTGCTCCCCTGCAGCGATGACGGGCGAAGTCGTGCTCGCAGCCGGTTGTGTCGAGTAACATAGGTCCCTTTATCCTCACCCGGCGGCATGAGCAACCTTCGCATGTTTGGCAACGCCATCCGAGAGGCAATAGTGATGTACCCATTTGAAGCGCGCTTACAGGTGGGGCCTTGTTACCACACAAGCACACAAACACACAAGTTTCATCAGGCAACAAAGTCTCTTGCGAACTTGTGTAAGGCAAACCGTGCGATATGTGAAAATATACATGAAACCTGCTTGACTGTTTTCACTAATGCCTGTACGGACTATCCACTTTCACAATGTTGCAACTTACAGAGTATACGCATTTGTCTTTGCTGTATGGAAATACTGAAAAGCGATTCATTTGAAGGTGCAATTTGTTGCTGAAATTGGATAGCAGCTTGTTATGTCATTGTTAGAGCGCGGTGTTTGAGAATGGCACCCCCCACGAAACTGGGCCCGTTGAATGAGAAGGAGAAAGCCGAGTTTGATAACATACGGTGTGCTGCTTGCGAAACACTCCCGTTGCGGTAGTCATGGGCAACATGGCTCCAAGCGCGCGTATCTGTGATGTGCAGGTATGAGGACATACAGTCATGCAAGGACGTGAAGAAACTAATGCGTATGGAGGCATACTTGAGGTATGAGATCATCGGGGTTTCGCTTGGCGGGATGCGGAGATGGAAAGCTGCTCATTGTGCTGAACTGGTTATCCAGCTCCCGTCCCTGCTTATAATCATTCTGTGTTGAGTTGACTAAGACTTCTGTCTAAATGTAACACTTCTGGACCTCACCTGCCGAGATGATCTGACTCATCGCATGGAACATGTCCGCACGGGTTTCGGAAGACGTGCAACGTATAAAATGTTGTAGTTGGGCAGTAAAAGTGTTAAATTGATATGCCTCGCGCAACGACATGGCAGGGCGGAGGGTTTCCCACCCACGGCAGACGCCGCGGCAGCGCGCCTTCGTGAGCTTGGGCAGCGGGCCGCCAACGAGGAGATGGACCCAGTGCAGGGGCGTTTTCTAATGGAGGAACAGGCCCGTGCAAGGGCGGAAATTGCAGCATGGACGGCACAGCAGCGGCAGACAGATGCTGCGTTAGCCGCAAGCAAAGAGGTTGCCCAAGGGTAAGAGGCCACCACATGGCGCTGTACCGCAGTTGTGATGCGTGGTGTTGGTATGTAGGGTGGAAAACTTGCGTCCTTGTTATCATGCTTGTTCTGCCGTACAGGCTTGCCCACGTACGTACGGTTGATGCGAGTGGGTCACGTGCCAACCTCGGTTGAAACTTGAGTTGCACACGCCATTGCAATGCTATATCACCTGCACCCGTGGCTTTCTAAAGTAACGGGAATGGAAATGAACAAGGAGTGGGCTAGGCGGCTCGGGGCCGAGGTCGCTGCAATACTTTGTTCAATTGGACTACAGGTTCCCGCATGAAGGGGTAGCGGCTTTGCAGAAGTCCGGTGTGGGTGGTTGCGTGCATGGGATCGTGGGACACCCTTTTTCTATTCCGTTCGCCTCTCTCTAATCGAATTTGAGAAATCGATTTGGACCCAAGTTTTAGATTCTGGGCTCACTCAAATAGTCGGCCATTGCAACCCGGCAGTCTCTCTCTCTCTCTCCCTCCAGCACACATGTATCGGCGCCCAACTGGCCCGCCGCCCTGCACAGCCTGAACTATGGAGCTGTGCCGCCGGTTCGCGCGCCGGTGCGACTGACGACCAGCGAGGCGAAGCCCGAAGCCCCTCTTGCCAACCAGAAGCCCGCCAAGCCCAAGGCGGTGAGTGCCGAGGCCCGGCAAGCGACGGGATGGACTTAGGGTGGGGAGCCGACCGCCAGGAGGGTAGTAGCCCTTTAGTTACGGAAGAAGAAGAAGAAGACCCAAAGAAAGCTCACTAGGCTTCGCATCGGGTGGGATGCAGGTGTAGATTGCGTTATGCGGTGGTGCAGCACCACAGCGCCTAGTGTTGTGGGTCTGATCATGGCCGCACTGAGTGCCTATCCTACCTGGGGGCTTCAACCCATGGGAAAGAGGGCGACTGCACCGAGTACGTGGAATACAAGGCACGGGAGATGCGCAAGACACCTGTACTTGACGTTCTCTGGACGTTGTCTAGCTATAGCGATTATCTGGCTCATGTTTAATATGTACCCGAGTCCACATTCCCGCTTCCCTCTCACCTGCCGTTTTTCTAAATCGGTATATATCCTTTCATACTCCGTGTTCCACACCGTCCCCAACTCTGGGACCTCTGGGACCTCATCTCACAAACGTTGCTTCGCCGCGCCGCCGTGCCGTCCAGGACGCCGCAGTGGGCACCAAAGCGCGCAGCGGCCGTGAATACTACGAGCTGTGGGAGAAGAAGGTCGAGGCGGCGCTAGCCGAAGCGGACAAGGAAGGCACCGCGGCGGCCGCCGGCACCGCTGCCGCTGCCGCCAGCACCGCTGGTCTCAAGCGCAGCCCGGAGCTCACTCAGCGGCTGCTGGAACTGAACCGCGGCGCCTCGGCTGCGGAGCGCCTGATCCTGTCCGGCCAGGAGAAGGCCAAAGGCAATGACCATTTCCGCGCGAAAGAGTACGCGGAGGCTGTGGAGCATTACACGCTGGCGTTGGGTCTCCGGGGCTCCGCTGGCGAGGCGCCGCTGTTCAACAACCGCGCCGCCGCCTATATCAAGCTCAAAATGTGGGACGCGGTGGAGCAGGACACGACCGCTGCGCTGGAGGCGGATCCTAAGTTGCTGAAGGCCTACATTCGACGCGCGGCGGCGAGGCTGGAGTTGGGCAAGCTGGCGGAGGCGGTGTCGGACTGCGACGCGGCGCTGGCGCTGCAGCCGGGTACCAAGGAGGTGGAGACGGTGCGGGAGCGGGCGGTGAAGCTGCTGCAGGACGCGGGCATGAAGCGTATGAAAATTGAGGAGGTGGAGGAGGAAGAAGAGGAGGAGGAGGAGGAGGAGGCGGTAGAAGGGAGCGACAAGGCGCACGCGAAGAGCAACAGCGTCAATGGCGCCGATGCTTCCGCGGCGGCATCGAGGGGAAAGCCTTCGGACCAGGAGTCCAGTGCCGCCAGCGGCGGCAGCAGTTCTTCCCAACAGGACACTCCGGCTGCGCCGCTTCCCCCTCGAAAGAAGCTGGTGGTGGTGGAGGAGACGGACAGCGAAGACAGCGATGATGAGGGCGCAGCGAGCAAGGCGACAGCTATTCCTGTACAACCGTCCCCACAGCCAGCGGAGCGGCAGCAGGAGCAGCAGCAGCCGTCTGTGGTTGCTACTGCTGCCAAAGCCATGCCCAGCGGTGGGCCGAATGCCGCCCCCACGGGAGCATCCGCACCTACTGCCCCGCCGACTGCTGCTCCTGTTGCCGCTGCTGCAGCTGCCGCGGTTGCACCCGCTTACACGTCCGGCAGGGCGGGGCCGGCAGCGGCCGCCGAGCGGGCACCAGCGACGGCGGCGCCGCCGGTACGGTCGGTACCGATGGTGGAGCTACCGCCGCCTCCGTCACCCCCCGCCCCGACTCCGGTTTCCCAGTTTGATGCCGCTGTGGAGTCAATAAAGCTGGAGGGCAATAAGGAGTTTAAGAGCGGCAATTTCGTGCGGGCGGCGCAGCTCTACACGGAGGCGATAGCGCTGGCGCCTGACCTTTCTGTACTCTACCTGAACCGGTGAGATTAGGCAGTCTTGGAGGGGGCTTGGTCGGCGGTCGGCTTGGCGGGAATTAGGATGGACGGCAGGGAAAGCAGTACTGGTGGCTGCTTCCGTATTCGAAATATCTCTTGCAGGGTTCCACTGCTCGGGTTCCACTGTTGGGGGTTTAATTGCGACATTGCTTGGGGCTCGGGTAGTGGGTGCTTTGGGCCCTGGCAGTTGTTTGTTGGGGCCTTGCATCATGTAGTTTTCCCCTCCCCTTCCCTCTTCTAACTGTCTATCTGTCTGTCTGTGTGTGTCTCTCCCCCGCAGGTCCATGGCCCGTCTGTCCAACGGACTGAACACGGAGGCGCTTCGTGACGCCTGCCAGGCGGTGGCGCTGGATCCAAAAGGCTACAAGGCCTTCCACAAGCGAGCCAGGGCGAAGGCGAAGCTGCGGCTGTGGGAGGTACGGCAGGGGCCTGTACGCGCCCGTACATGGTGCGGAGAGCATCCGAAAGGGACGGCCGGGAGCAGCGGGATGGATGGTGGGCAGCGAGTGTCGCTGCAAAGGGTCGTCCAAAAATCCTTTGGCGTGGCATATGCGCCGCCGCACAGGAGCGTGTGCAGATGCCTACCCCTCCTCCCGATTCGGCCCCGCACCTCTCCCCTTCCCCCCCCTCCGCAGGCCTCCCGTGACGATCTGCAGCGTTGCCTGGACCTGGTGGGCCCCAACGAGGACCGCATCCGTGGTGAGGTGGCTAAGGAGCTGGAGACGGTTCAGGCGCAGGTGGCGGCGGTTAAGAAGCGGGCGGCGGCGCGGGCAGCGGCGGCAGCGGCGCGGGGGCCGCAGCGGGTGACCAACTACTACCGGGCGGGAGTGACGATTGAAGAGCATGACGAGGAGGAGGAGAACAGCGAGGAGGGTGCGTGGGGGGGTTCGGTCGGTGGAAGGTTGGAACTGGACCCCGGAAGGGGGTCGCCTGGAAGGGCGACAACTTCAGTTCAGGGCGGTGCACATCACATATCACTCAGCTTATCTTCTCTACTGCGTGCTCACTTCGCAAGCGCACGCACCTGCTCACTTGGCTGGTGTTACAACTGCTACCGTACCATGACGTCGTTACAGCTGTCCAGACGTGCGGCATTCCTGTGTAAACCTGCTGTGCATCTCGCCCTCGCCGTTGGCAGCTCTTCTCGCCTCTTTCCTGTTTCCGCCACACGACCACAACTCGGAAGGGGAGCCAGTGTGTGCGGTGCGGTGTAACACATATGAATGTTTTCCCCTGGCGGTATCACTGGTGGTAGTACTGGTAACGTGCACATACTCGTTACCTATGGTACGAGAATTCCTCTTTTGTTGTATTTTCTTCACAGGCTGCTATATGCACGTGCGCATACACACAAACACACTTACAGACACACATACGCACACACCTGCGCGTCCGTGCAGACAAGCCACTACTGGCCGCTGATGAGGCCACCGACTGGGAGGTGGCGGCGGCTCGGCGGCTGTCGGATCTGCGCAGCCAGGCGGAGGTGCTGCGCGCAGAGTGGCTGCGGCAGCGGGACATGGAGGCGCGGGAGGCTTTCCAACGGGACCTACTGACATGGGAGGCGGCGAAGGAACGGGCCGAGGCGGCGGCAGCTGCGGCAGCTGCTGATGCCGCAGCCGCCGCTGCGGCGGAGGCCGAGGCCGCAGCCGCCGCTGCCGCGGCCGCTGCCCCTGTTGCTGCTGCTTCTGCTGCGCCGGCACCGCCGCCCCGTAGCGTGGATGCGATTAAGAACGAGGGCAATGAGCACCTGAAGGCGCAGCGCTACCGAGCTGCGGAGGACTGCTACCAGGAGTGCCTCCGACTGGACCCGGACAATGTGGCGGTGCGGCTGAACCTGCTGGTGCTGCTCAATGCCACGGAGCGGTCGGCGGAGGCAGAGGAGGTCGCGAACGAAGTGCTGCGGGTAAGGGGGCAGCTGTTCTGGAGTAGTGGTGGGCGATGGCGTAGTGGTAGTGGTGGTGGGGAGGAGAGAGGAGGAGGAGCGGACGGCATGTGGACGTGGTAACGTAGGTGTGTTGGGGGATATTCCCGGAATAGTACAGAGGAGACGACAGGTCAGATGGGTGGGATGGCGAGCGAACTGGCGTAACGGGCAGGGGTGAGGAGTCAACCGCTGGTGCAGCTGTGGTTAGATGGTTTGGGAGTTTACCAGTGCGCTTCATGTGACAGAAGTGGCAGCGGCTCTCGTATTTGCTCCTGCATTTGTCTGCCTATGTCAGGGAGCATGTGTTCTGTAGGACGTGTATACATTTCATTGCTTTCTTAATTATATAACAATGTGGACTTTCCAGTTTGCAAAAAAATACAGCATTGCTCTTGTATTATCATCTTGAGTCTCGCCTCAGTTATAGAGCCTCGGTGTAACCATGACCTTCACTCGTTTTCCCGCCCGCCTCTACTCTGAGCCGTTCCTTGTTCGGCCTGATTACTATCGAAGGCACTCCTCGTCCTGACACTCGCATGTTACGCCTGGATCTGCTTGCTGCTATGGACACAATTATACACACACACTAAAGAGAAAGGCGTGTGTGCCTTTCTCTTTAAAACGCCCGCTTCCCAAACCCCCCGCTCCCTGCTCCTCCCCTTTCGCCGCGACGTCCGCGCCCCTCCGCAGCTCCTCTCCAGCGGCACGGGCTCCTTCAGTCTCGACCAGCAGCAGAACATGCGCTCCAAGGTGTTTCACCGCCGCGCCCAGGCGCTCAAGGCGCAGGGCCGCTTGCAGGAGGCGCTGGAGGACCTACGGGCTGCTAAGGCGCTGTTTGGTCAGAGCGATGCACTGGACAGGGAGATGGAGGCGATTGGGAAGCTCATGGCGACGCAGCAGGGCGACGCCCCGGCGGCGGCGGCGCCTCCTGCGGCGACACCCTCAGCAGCGCCTGCCGCTGGAGAGCAAGCGCCGGCGGCTGCTCCGGAGGTGGAAAATCCGGTGGCGCCAGCTACGGCGCAACCTGTTGAGGCGGTGGCGGTGGCGACAGGACCGCCAACGGCGACAGAGGCGGCGGCGGCGCCGCAGCCACTGCCAGCGGCGGGAGGATCAACCGCCGCCGCAGGTCGCACCATGGGGACCGGGGCTGCGCCTGCCCGGCGGCGAATGGAGGTTCAAATGGAAAGTGATGACAGCGACGACAATGATGAGTTCGCGGCGCCGACGCTGCCGATGCCACCGTCGCCGCCACGTGCAATTGAAACGCCAAATGCAGGTTCCCGATCCTCAACGCCGCAACAATCGCCAAAGTCCAAGCCTTCAGCGCCATTCGTCTTCCCATCTACCGCCGACGCCGATATGCAAACTGCTGTCAAGACGCCGGCGGAGGGCCTCACTCCGGCCGCTAAATCTGTTCCCAGCCCCGCTGCTACACCTGCTTCGACCTCTGCCAATAGCGCGTCTACTTCCGGAGCCCCCGTCGCCGCTGCATCTGCAGATGTCCCCATGGCCGCTGCTGCCGCCGCCGCCGCCGCCGCCGCCGGCAGCACCTCGGCCGCAACCCGCCGGGGTAAGAACAGCGGCTCCCGGGCCGCCGAGGTGTCCGGTGACCCGGGGGACCCGGTGGAAGCTGCCCGCCTTCGCGACGAGGGCAACCGACTGTACGGCGTCGGCAACTACGTGCGCGCCATGGACTTCTACTCCCAAAGCATCCGCGCCTGTGCGCACAACCCAGCGGCGTACTGCAACCGCGCTTTTGTGTACCTGCACCTGCGCCGTCCCGCGGATGCCTTGCTGGATGCGGAGGCTGCCATTGAGCAATCTGGAGGGCGCTACCCGAAGGCACAACTTCGCCGCGCTCTGGCGCTGCGGGAGCTCGGCTTTATTTCGGACGCGATGACGGCCATTCAGCAGCTCCTGGCGGTGACACCGGGCGATCCGGCGCTGCTCGAGGAGATGCAGCGGCTGCAGAAGATGGCGGAAGAGGAGAAGGGTAAAGCCCGCGGCGGTGGCGGCGGCGGGGCGGCAGCGACGGCGGCAGCGGGAAGTCAGGGGCAGGGAAAGCCGGGGGCAGCGAACGGGGGAACCGTCGTGGCGCCGGCACCAGGAGTGCAGCCGCCGCCTATACGGCACAAAATCATTGTGGAGGATGTTTCAGACAGCGAGGATGAGGAGCTGAATGCTGTGGACGGCGATGCGAGGGTACCCGTGGAGCAGCCGCCGGCAGCTGCGGCAGCGACAGCGGGGCCGCTGTCGTCCAGCGTGGCCGCGGAGAGCAGGGGCCCGTCGTCTGAGCCTCATGCGGCAGCTGCACCCCAGCCCGTGGTCACCGCAAGGGGGGTGACACCACCGGAGCCGAGCCCAGCGAGCCCGGCCGCCGCGGGCACCGGGACAGCTAGCACCAGCTCTGGCGGAGTTGCTGCGGGTGCCGGTAACGGGTCCAATGGTGCTGCCGCTGTACCTCCACCACCGTCGACGGCTACCGCCAGCAGCCGAAGTCAGTTCGAGGCCGCTTCTGCCAAGGCTGCCGCAGCGCTTGCCGTCGCCGCCAAGGCGCCTAAGAAGCCCAAGCCACCCAAGAACGCGCATGAGCTAGAACAAGCCCTCAAGAGCCTCGCTGGGCACCCTGCCGTACAGTACGACTACATCCGTTCTCTGGATCCGTCGTCGTATGCGGGAATTATTAAGGCCAACCTGTCGGTCAAGATGGTGCAGGCGTTTGTGGATACGGTGCGAACAGCGCTGGGGATGTCCGCGGCTGCCGGTGGCGGTGACGGCGTGGCGACGGCGGCGCCCGCTGCTCCCCGGCCGGAGGATTTGGACTTTGCGCTGCGCTGCCTGGAGGGTCTTACCATGGTACCCCGGTTCGATGTGACGTACGGTCTGTGCGGCAGGGCCATGAAGGACGACATGCGGGTGCTGGTGGGTGCCCTGGCGGCGGCAGGGCGGGACGCGTCCCTGCTGAAGAAATGGTTCAAGCTGTAAACTGGGGAAATGGTTCAAGCTGTAAACTGGGGAAAAGAGCACGAACAGGAGGCCAAGTGGGGTCAGGTGGCGGCGGCGGTGGTGGTGGTGGTGGTGGTGGCGGCGGCCGTTCAGCTGCTGCTGCAGTTAGGTGCGGTAGCTGTAGCTCTCCTTGTCGTTAGCTGTCATAGGGGCTCGCAACACCATCTTCTGTTCCTAGAGAGGGTGGGAGGGATGCCTGCTGGGCGTGTGCCTGCAAGGTTGGTGACGTATTATTGATGGGTCGACATTGAGTACATGTCAGCGAGCTGGCTAGCGAGGCGGCTGCCTGGCTGGCTGGGTGGTATCAAGCAAAAGCTGGCCTGGGCATAGTACAGGCGCAGGAGGAGGTGCACACCGAGCAGGGACGGATGGATACGGCGGCAGAATGTGTCGGCAAGCATTTAGACGTGCATGTGAATGTCATGCGCAGGCGCATTGCGTACACATTGCATGCGTCATGGTGCCGGGGTGTCACCGGTGTACAGCAGGGCGGCGGGAGCAGGTGTGTGTGCGTGCAGAAATCCGTGTTTTACGAGGCGTGCTGTTGTCGATCCGTTGAGCGTCCGGTCATGGCGCCGAAAAGGAGCCTGTCGAGAGTCTCCCCTTCTGGCTGAAGCTCTGGGGCAGGCTAGCCTCGGGGGGGGATGTCCCGCCATCTCGCCCGTTTCTCCTTTCGTACCTGGGTAGCGAGTTGTAATGTCGCGGACGAGTGCCTTCACATATGTAGACATATGCATCTGCATGCCATCGGCACATTCCTTCGTAAGGAAGGCTAAAGACCTCCTGCCTGAAGATATTCCGCACGTACGACTGTGCGTCATGCTTTTTACGGCATGCAGCAGTTGCAAGCCGGTGGTGTGTCCTGGGGGGGGGAGAGCACCAGCACGTGCGGGGTGCGTGAGTCGGACGCCTGCGTGTTGTCGTGTGGTGGGATTTGGTGTGTACGGACCGTACGTCGGAAGATGCGCCGTGGCGTGTGTGCTGCGGTGTGTGGCTTGGAGGTTAGGTCTCTGAAGCACTCTAGCACGTCGACACCACTGCAGGTTCACTGGGTCGTTGACGATGATGTCGACTCTTTTGCACATGTGTGTGCGGCAGTGGGGAGTATGTTGGTCGTCTCAGCAGTGACAGGCAGGTTGACCTAGGTTTGTGTGTAGCCATGTCGTACAGGCCTCCCTTGCGACATCACTTCATCTGGACGCGTTGTTCGCACTGTAGCGGTTAACGATAAACTCACAGAGCTGCGGATTAGCTGCGGATAAGCGAGCGAGGCTACGAGCCTTGCAGATTCGGGGACCCACGTTAAGGAGAGCCCTACCCAGTCGGACAGTGCAGTTCCCCGCATAACGCCAATGCGGCAATAAAAGGGGCCCGGGAGCCGGTGGCTAAAAGCCGCGGAATCTATGTAAGCTTTTGGTGCTTTTGCTACCTGTGACCGTCCTTGAAGCACGGGAAAACCATATATATATATATATACATATATATACATATATACATATATACATATATGTATATATGTATATATGTATATATGTATATATATACATATATATACATATATACATATATACATATATATACTACTATATATATATACTACTATATATATATACTACTGGTAACGCACATACCGATGCCCCGGAGGTTTTGAGATCGATCAGGGTCGAAAATCCTTCAGATTGGGTGTAAGGAGAGTGTCCGATGGACGGTGGTGATCTGGGATTAGTTAACCTGCGAGCTGACCAGGAATGGAGCTGAGCCGCCGTTGACCCGGCAGATTCAGTTGGATGCCGGTGGTGGGTGCGGAACCTGAGCGATCCACTGAGAAGTTGGCTAGGGTGACTGGATGAGAGTGTCCCGAAATACCGGGGAAGGCAGGGTTTCGCCGAGTAGCGGTCACGGGTGAAGATACGACCCCCCTGTCACACATCATACACGCCGTACCTCCCCAAGTAATCGGTTATGTCGTGTTCAGGCACTGACGGAGGTCCAGGTCACACCGCATTGCCATTGCCTTGCTTGGGGTCATCCTTGGCTTCCCCGCGTTCACCGAAACACGACACGACACCCCGTGTTCAGCGAGTCTAATCTGGTCTTTGAGGCTGGTGCAGTACGGCGCGGGATGACCCTTCCAAGTCCGTTTACCAAACCACACGAAAAGTCGTTCCCGCAAGGAAGTTGAAAGGAAAAAGGGGGAACTCGAAGCCGCCGCCGACGCCTGCCCGATAAGGAACCACGTGCTCTCAAAGCTCGCTCTCCCTGTTTCGCAGCCCCTCAGCGCTCTGCCAAATGGAACCCTTAACCACCCTGCTGAGCGCGATGGAAAACCCCCCAGGCGGGACCTCAACACGGCCGATAACAGCCGACATATGCACTCCTCTGATTTCCATTGACGAAAACGGTGCCTCGGGCAGAAAAGAGGGGCGAATATGGAACCACGGGTCAAGCCACGTCCCCTTGCGCTGGGACCGGCCTAAGACAGGTCGGGCTCCATGTGCAGCAGCTGAGCCGTACCAACCTCTATCATGAGATTGCGCAGCTTAGTTGCGCACATGTAAAGCTGAGCTACCGGCGGAAGCCTTACCTGGTTTCGAACCTAATATCAGCTAGATCAAGGACGCATGGTTATTCGCCTGATGTCAAATGCCGGGGAGGCGGCGCGAAGGTTTACTTTAATTTCTTCAGCTGTATGTAAGTCCCGGCAACATTAGAATTCATTTCCCCCCCTCACCACGATATATATCACTCACCACGATACTTTGTAGAACCATGGTGCTCTCATTGCGGTGCAGCAGCAAGCGGCAGGAATGTAGGCAGGACCCCTAGGCACAAAAACAAACTGGCGGTTCTTGCTGACTGAAGCTCTGTTTACGCGCGTGCAAGGCTACAAGCGGCAAACAATGCAATGTGGAGACATAACTCCGCATAGACAGACAGGCAGCCCGACTGACCTGTACACTACGCGCCGTGATGGCCCAGGCCAAGCACAACAGAAAGGTGCACTTGGAAGTACTTAGGGTACCCCATTGAGCATCTGGTAGTAGCTGACCGTGCGCCCGACAGTGATAGTGCAGTCAGTGCTGGCCAGCCGGACCTGCAGCCTGTCCACGTGGCCATCGGGGTCTCGATGCAGCACCGCCACACTGCATCCTCTGTGATGCTGTGCGCGATTGCTATGTTGTCTGTCAGGCGCACTCGAGCACCCACAGCCATGCAAGGCAGGGTGTGGAAGGAGGGCTCATGTAGCCAGCTATCCAGCACCAGTGCAGCATCAGGATACTGAACATTACGGTGCAGGAGACATGGCAGGACCTGCTTCACCATCGTGCACTCCAAGCACTGGCGGATGGCCAGGTTGTGCTCCTAGGCATCCTCCCGGTGGGTGCACAGCACGGTGGTGTTGGCATAGCACAGGGCGGCCACCCCGGCAGCAGTGATGTAGTTGGTGTTGGAGGGCGCCCACTCACCAAAGGTAGCGTCAATCTCGGGCTCGGTGGGGCCCGGCAGTCGGACAGTGCTTTGAGGAAGGCCACGTAGGCAGGGTCGGCAGTGTGCAGGACCGCGACATCAAGAGACACAGGCGGGTCACATACTGCCAGTACCAGCAGGAGGTTATCACCTCTGGTATAGGCCACTCACCTGGGACGCCGCCGCTGCGGAGCCAGTCTGCCTCGATGGCGGCACGCCAGCGGCAACTGGAGACACGGCAAGGCGGTTGGAGGAGGATTGGAGCAGCGGCTGGGTGGTGGGTGGAAAGGATTCATCACGTTTTGTTCAAAGTCCGCACACAGGGGCTGCAGGCGGCTGGAGCTGCAATCTGCCTGGCATCTTGCCCAGCAAGCTGCCCTGCACTCTACCAAGCCATGGCCCCCTGCCTGACCTCCTCGTGCAGCTTGGACTCCAGCGAGTGAATCTCTGGCCAGCGAGTGTTTGACACGTTGTTGGTGGTGAGTACGACGGTACAGAAACAGCGCCAGCTCAGCACACCTGCCAGAGGCCTGCAGGAGTGCCGTCCGCGTTGACGTCAAGGCTCAAGTGGGTGTGTGTGGGCGATCGCGGCGCCAATGGGCCCGCCGTGTAGATGAGTGGTTGCACGTTCGAGGTCGGGGCCCGCAAGCACAGGCATCACCACGGACAAGAAGGATTGCACCGCTGCTGCAGCTCCATCCAGCCGTCACCAGCACCAAGGGCTGGTTGGCTTTGACATTGGCAGCAAGCATGCACTCACTCACTCTCGGGCGCCAGATAAGGGAGGGGATAGTTGGGGGCACCTGCTCCACGACTGTGAGGAAGTGCACGATGATGGGGTTGTTTTGCATGCTCCAGCCTAGCACCTCTTGCAGTGTGGTGAGAAGGGTGTTGACACGTCACTCTGGTTCAGCATCAGTGCGTCCATGCAGTGCTGCTGTCGAAGCCCGCTGGCCAAGTACCCCAAAGGCGGCCTGTAGAAACTTGACGCCCACTTCCACCAGCACCAAGCGCATGTATTGGATTGAATTGAATTGTTACAGGGTGGGAGGCTTCTGGGCCATTAGAACACATTGTCATTTCTACGATTTATCATACCATACAGCACCATCCACCATTACCACACTGTACTACGCCATACGAACTGGAAGTCCAAGGCGATTGATCCTGCCTTCTAGAATCACTCCTCATCCATTCACCCGAACATCCGCAGAGACAGTGGGTTCAGCAATCGCCACCAATCTAACGTGCGAATCTCAATCCATCATCTGTGACCTCAACTCCTTATCTCAACAGTTGGCCATGATCTCACGCTCCCGACAATGTCGGGGGTCTCCCCAGGAATTGAACCCAGGACCCTAAACTGTATAAGCAGTAGTGTTGCCCAGGCGAGCATATGTAATTCTACGGGGTCCAATACAATAACAGCGTCCGGTGCAGTCAAGTGACAGGAACACAAGGTCGTTGCCCTCGTTGCCAGGAGAGGCGGCCGTGCAGTGGGGCGGAGATGCCAGCTGCCATCGGTAGTCGTGGTGCTGCCAGCATGCAGGGAGTTGTGAAAGGAGTACGAGGGGACACCCGCAGTATTGGCTGGCAGTGTGATTAGCAGGGGTAATTTGCGGTTGCGGGTAATCCTGCCGCCGACCAGCACTCGACCCGACCATTGGGGACCACTGTAATTAGAAATGACTTGGCTTCCAACGGTCAACATAAGGAGACTCCAAACTTGGGCATACTTCAAATTTGCCGTGTTAAATATGGAAAACATGACGAGGGATACACCTGGATACCGGTGCACAGTGGATAAGTGCGGTTGGCTTGTCTGGAATACCCACGTTGGCGTTATAGGCAAACGAGTCTTGTTACACTGTAACTAGGAATGGCCAATGCTATCCACCACTGATGTACAGGAATACTCATTAGGCTCGTGTCAGCTAATTTACTAGTGCTCGGCTGTTACTCTGTGTTCCCTGTACTTAAGGCGTCGAAGGAGAAATTCGATGGATGTCACGTGGGACCAAAGACCAAAAGAGAGTTCGGGGATTCCACTTGTCACCAACTGCCAGTAGGCAAAAAAGACACTGGCACCACAATGGATATCAAAGCGCTTGGACCGCTGTCGACTTCAGTCAGCTCAAAGCAACAATGGCGCAAAACATCATCAACCATAAGAACCGCAATCGACAGTCAGCAACTAAACACAAAAGTTTGTAAAAAAATGATCAGGGGAACTTTCCTGCTGACTTTAATGTGCAGCAGCCCCAAATGAAGCGGGCCACCCAGCTCTTTGCGAGAAATGCTCCGGATAGAGAACGCGTACAACAGCACTGCACTTTGGGAAATCGCAGCCATAGGTGCTCACATCTTCCCCTCGTTGACCTAACGCTATATTAGCTGCCTGCAATCTTCAACCCAATTTTCTAGCAGACGCCCACCAACGACTGCAGTTCCGCACTACGTGTACATCGCGCAGAGTCCCTCAAAACCTACTGTGAGGCCTGAACAAGCTGCCAGTTACTGCAATTGGTCATAGCTATTAACATCCGTGTGCAACACGCTAGGCACTGCAGAATATATGCAGTGCCCAAGTCCTGCATGAGCAGTGACCTAACCAAACACGAAAGAACAGGTGCGAAGAAAAACAAAGCAGCAGACGCAGAATTGTATCGGCCCATGTCTATACCTGTCTAACCGTCAACGATAGCATCACAGTGCCAGACCTAAAAGCCCCAACCCTTCTTCTGCGCCGGTGCGGTGTGGGTAACGGGGGCTACAACCGGGTTGGGCACCTCCTCATCCACCGGAGCGGGCGTGGCTGGCTTCTCTGCACGTTGCTGGATGCGCAGCCGCCTCACCCTGTTGAAGTTCGCGGAGACAAATCTCTTCACATCGTCCACACGGACCCCCGCGCGGCCAATCTGCATAATTAATTGCAAAGCAACGATCAGACCGGTTCGGAAGTATGGCCATGAGGGCATCACAGAATCCTGAATACGAGCGAAACATGTACAGCGGAATGACTCACCTGTAGGCAAACAACAGCTGGGATGATGGTCCACATCAGAGCCGAAGCGATCTTGCGGCCAAGCTTTAGACCGCCCAGTGTCGAGCGGCGCCAGGCCTCGTAACGCTGGCGCTTGGTCTTGCTGATCTCCTCAAGCGCCTCCTTCATAAGCAATGCCCTGAATCCAAGGAACAGAGCGGGATTAGTCGATAACTCCTCGGAAGTCCATAACCTGTCCTAAATGTCTAAAACCAACGGAATGAATAACTTGTCCCGGGTCTTCAAACGTACCTGACAGCGAGCAGGTCTGAGTGCTCCTTGTTGAATGCCTCAGCAGTGCCCCATGGATACCGTCGCTCCGGCCAGAAGAGCGGAGGCTCTGCGGCGGCTAACTCCTCGGAGATATCGTTGGATGCCACAACCAAGAAGGGCGGATGTGGAGTAGCTTGGTCTTGCACACCCGCGCGCTCGAGGGTGTCCCGCTCGAACTTGAACACGTTGATCTTGTCGTGGATGCCTGGATCAGCGGTACAGCAGAGCGCCCGCATAAAATCATGATTCGTTAAATAGCCTACGTAAGCGCAACTATTGCTGCACGAGTGCTGGTCGAGTTATGGCACGACTTTCGGGGTTATCCCTAGCGTCGTGCATGCATCAATGAACTCAACCATTTTAGCGCAGCCAGTCCTCCACGCCCAGCATTCCGCCTCACCTGGCACCATGGGGTTGGCAATGCGGTTCGCAACCTCCGTGCGGTACGTATTGGCCTCCCGTATGGTCATTGTGTCCGCCTTGGTCACCACGGGCACCACCGGTACGTGCTTACCAAGCTCAAACATGTATTTGAGGTCGATGGGCCGCAGCCTGTGCAGGCGGAAGGACAACACAACGATGATCCAACGATCTATGGATAACGGTTGCAACGAAGGAAAACCTAAAACAGTTGCTACAATAGGAATCCTAAAACATCCAATTGTTCGCATATTGTTGAGAGTTTAGTAACGCAGCAACTCCATCTAGAGAATCCTAGCGTCTGTTCACCTGTGGGGAGGAATGCAGAAGATGCACAGGTCCACCCGGGGGTCCTCCAGCTCTGCCAAGTCCTCCTTACGGTCGCGGGACTGTTCCATCTCCAGCCACCTACAGGAGAACATGACCATCGCAATCGAAGCACATCAAGCTCGTGTCAGTTCACGGCGGAATGCTACATACCAGTCCATGGGGCCCCCGATTTATTGACGCCCCCGCACTTGTGCAGGACTGTAACAGTTGCTTCACGTATTCCGCAAGGACCTTCCCGCCATGAACGGTGTTCCTTTGGTATCAGGATCATACACAAGAGGCTCGTCGCAGGCACCACGCATACAGCATTTTTATTGTTGCAGGGACATACACCCGCGTCCAGTTACGAACCTAGCACCCGAGCTAGATATACCCTGCACCCGCAACGTTCACATGGCGGCCGCTCAACTGATTGGCCTTAGGGTGTTTGTGTTTGTACAGTAGCTCGAAGAGGAAACATTGTCACGGCAAAGCGCTGAGGCATCCTGCCACCTGTCGACTGGATACCGTTCGTGCGCCCAAGCCGTTTTCTGTCTTGCAAGGGCGTATACTAAGCTGCCCATAGAGCTAGGACAGGCCAGTAAGTAAAACCTTGCCAATCAAATTTCGTTCATGGGCAGTATCTCGTTGCCAATGACAGGTCACATAACAGTTCACACAATAGCTCACTTCCTGTTCTGAAGCTCAATATAGTCCTGCACCATTTTAAGGTTGCGAAACACGTCCAACTCGTCTCCATAGCCAGGCGTGTCCTGAAGGAGAAAGGGTGGGAAAAGGGTAGGGGAAACAATTACAAAAACATGACAATTAAGCAGCCATGGCCCTCCCAAAGGTGCGTCCCGGTACAATCAGCTGTGACATTGTTATGCTAGCGCAGGAGACCATGTCAGGCGCGAGGCAAATTCATTCAGCAACCCGCGTTCGTATTAAGGCCGCGGCGGCGGCACTCACCTGGATCTTGTATACCCAAATTACACGGTCCTCCTCATCGCGCCAGCTTACAGTCGAGCAGAGCGAATCAGGATCGCGACGAAATTGCTCAGTCGGTGTGTAACTGCCATCGTGCACCTGTACATTCGCACAAGGAGAACAATTACAAGGCGTGCCGCAGCTAAGATAAATTCACAACAAACGTTAAGTACACGATGGCCATCCCCGTGCCGTACAACGTCCATATGTCACCACAGCATGCATACGTTTACCCACGGAGATTGCCGTCCTGCGTCAAAGACTCGGCAAGCTTATCGACAAACACACCTGCAGCCGCTCTCCAGGGATCGAAATCAAGGACTTGATCAATGTGGTCTTGCCCAAGCCCGAGTCCCCAACAACGATCAGCTTGATGTACTTTTTCTTCCAGATCTTGTGTGGACGCGGACGGCGGGGCCCGAGCAGCGCGTCCTTGCCGAAAACCATCTCACTGGCACGACTGTAGTTGGACGAGATACTTAGCCGCCGCTCTACATGCATTTAAGATGTGTATGCAGTATCGTACATGGGAGAGGCAGCAGCTGCATGTTCGACATAAAAATTGGATCGTGCGGAAGATTGATTACACTTCAAAACAACGCTTGCACGCTGTTGTGCTACTAATCATCGACTTTGCTGCAGTTGCAGCACAAAGCTCACACTTTGCGGCTGGGGATGAGTAACCAAGTATCTCACCCGGCATACCGCCCACGCGGGCGCCTGGGCCAAACTTCGTATCTTCGGCTGCCGGCATTGAAAAGTCAGGCGTAGTAGCTGCAAAATCGGGTTATGCCGGAGATAAGGTGGGATGGACAAGAAGCGGCAAGGTCAGGGTATGTGCCATCCGTAGCACGTACACGAATTAAAGTAATACAGGAAAAGGGCCTTTCGTGCAACAAGATGTAAACATAATACAAGTACATATGTGCATGGCAATTGTGAGGTTGTCAAGCAACAGTCTACACACCACAAAATCAACCTGGAACATTAGAAATACGCATTGCACCGCCGATACTCACATGGTGCGTTGACGTAACGATGAGTTGAGTTTGCAAAAGGGGTGGGGTTCAGGCCGGTTGCAGGCGGCTGGGTGCCGTCCTCTCGTAGACTTGCAGCAAACTTGGTCGGGGGAAAATAGTTGCTTGTCATGAGGGGGAGAATAGGTTGACACTATCTACCCTGTGGAAGCGGAAGCAGACGTAACTTACAGATTTCAAGATGACATTCAAAACAACGTTAGGACTCAAACTCATTCGGGTAGGTTTAAGTATAATACCTAAAATGGAACTTAGACATGTAACCGAGGCTTATGCCTCCTTCAGCATAACTTGTTCCGCCGCTATGGCGGGAAGAGCCAAGACCAGGTTTAGGGGTGCCGGTGTGATGCACCCGAACATCTGACAAAAGACAACACGTGCAGAAGATGCAATCGAGGAGTCGCTTCGTTAGCATCAGCTCACCCGAATTTGCCTCCAATCAAGATGTCGCAGATATGTCAATTAACCGCTCCAGGCATGCACCAAACATAAAAAGTGTCAAAGGAATGTGTCTACCTAAATTATTTGTCCAAAGACGCGTGGCCAACTTGTATAATATACAGCACTTCCACTAGGAGCCGTACGAGGTCGTAGAATCCAGGAGCTTGTCCGAAACGCGGAACTTGTTTCGTCACACGCTCGTCGCAACAATACCTTTGATTTTGTCCACCTCGGAAGCCTTATTTAACCATGAGCTGCGACTACCTTTTTTAACGCCAGCCATGGCAACATTTGTACCTGTTCCTTTGGTGAGCAGTTGCTGGACCCCGACACCGTCAGCTTATACAAGTTTTGAAACGCAAAACCCTAAAGGAATTGATTTTGCATATGCAGCCACCATCCAGCCAGTTGACGGATGCCTTCGTCAAGTCACAGCTAACAAAATGGTGAGATTGCCTTGGCTGGAACGCAGGAGGGTCTTCCTGGGGGTTCTGCCTGGCGGCAGAAACAAGGGTTACGCTTCTCTAAGGGGTGTCCTCCTTGCACGCTACCGTACTTCGTGTTTGACCTATGAACCCTCGTTTCGCGCGGCTCGCACCGACCGCAGGGACCTACTGCGGAACATGAAATACATGGTTGTGCGGTACACAAAGCCGTACCACAAGATGCAGGGCCAGGAGCTCATAACAGATATGCTGAATGACCCCAAAGTCCAAGAGGCCTTCCAGGTTACCCACCTGCGCTGAGCAGAAATCCGCCGCTCATAGCCAGCACCACGGCACACTGCAAAATTCCTCTCTCTCTCTCTCTCTCTCACCACCTCGGTTGTGCCTGTGTCCCCCCAGGTGCTCCGCTCAGGCGGCAAATGGACAGGGCTAGGTGGCAGAGTTACTCGTGTGGATGCGAACGTCGTGACAGCATCCCTAACCCGGTAAGAATGAGGCTGGACGATACAGGTAGTGCAGAAGGTTCAGCGGATTGCTGCAACCCTAGCAGTGAGGCGAAGCCCAGGTTGTGTGGATCACCGGTCACGTGAGCAGCAACATGCATGTTGCCACTGTATTGTTCGGTCACATTTGAAGGCTTTTGCCTCTCAGTGCAACACATGCACACCGCCGATTACACTCCGGTCGGTCCGTCAAGCACCGGCATTACACATGCCGTTGTGAGTGCGCCCTTCCTGCGCGTGTCGCCCTGCAGACTGGACATCTTTGACAAGTTGAACGAGTCCTCACCCGCAATCGTGCGTCCTAATGGGGACATTGCCAAGTGCATGGACAACGTGCGGGAGGGCTTCCAGGTGGGGATGAGGCCAACCAAGCAGGTGGCGGGGCTGTCGGAAAGGAAGGAGGGCGCTGTCTGAACCCGAACACATAGGGAGAACATAGGGAGAAGTTGGTACTCGCACGTGCCAGGAATGGGGTGCTTCTCCTTAGCCTCAGTTGGTCACGGCGCTATCGCCAACCGATTCAAATGGTTTAGCGGCCTGCATGCCCAAATCTACACGCCTTCCACCATGGAACGGAACTCAAGCAGCGCGGCGCTTTCCAGGCTACGGCCGTCCTGTCGTAAAACTTCGATTTCATTTCCTTGTCGGTGTCTTTGCAAAGTTAAGTAGTGAGAAGACGGCAGATGAACACGCACGTCTCCGCGTACATAGACTGAACGTCGAAACGTCGCTTAGACGAAACATTGTTGATGTGGCGACTTTCCCGTGTGTGTGCACATGTGTGCGTGTACATGTGGGTCTGTGTCCTCAGATTTCCGACCTGCTCCGTGACCTGCTGCTGAATGAGGACTCGGAGAACGCAGGGCTGTACTCGGCAGAGGAGCGCGACGAGCTGCTGTGGCGGCTGTTCGAGCACATGGTGCTTGGAGGGTCCTGCTGCCAGTTCGAGGTAGGAATAATGGAGTAACGCAAACTCAGACAGGGAAGGGCACGAGCGGCAAACCCGGGGGGGAGCCCATGCGGAGAGGCCGGGGATGGCGGGCAGCGCGGCATGCGGGTTTAGCAGGTGTGGTTAATGGATGGCCCAGCATAAGGCGCATTGAGCCGTGGCGGCAGGCCGAAGCTGGCAGTTCGATGCGGCGGGTGAGGCATGGCCAGGCGATGTGCACCGTTGCGTTTTTATATGCCTATGCCTGCGAGTTGCCAACGTCATAGACACAGGAGTTGTGGTGATGCCTCTTAAGGACGTTTTGTATCAACTTAAATGTCGCAAAACAGAGAAGAACGTGTAACTTATGCCGCGACAGTGACAAGGCAGCCACGGGTGGATTGCAGTTATCGGGCGCAGGTAAATGAGCTTCCCTTATGTGGCAGCTTGATGGCCACAGAAAACAAGCGGTTGGCGTGGAATTCTTACCGTTTGCCTACCGTCCTTAGGACAAACTAGAGCCGTACGTGGAAACAAGCAAGCGGCTATACAAGGAGCTTGTCAGGTGAGGTTCCAACTGCGGTACGGGGCCCATTTGCCTGAGTGAAGTTCAACAGTCGTACGGTGTATTTGGCTATAAATGTTGTTCCAGTTCCGGGTGTCCTCTTGCAAACGACGATCAGCAGTGCAGCCTACAGCCCGCATGAGCGTGCGATGTGCTTGACTGTGCGCCCGGAACAGGACGTTGCCCGAATAAGGCATTTCGGCATCCAGCTTGCCGTCGCCGTTGCGTTCGTGGTTTCCGGTTTTCCTCTCCGACTTCATTAACGCGGCCCTTCCCTCGCGCTCTGCTTTTCCGCGCCACTTCCTACCCAGTGCCCTTAAGGACCCCGGCACCGGGAAGATTCACGTCGCGTCCGTCGTCTATAAAGTCAACGCAGTACATGGCGAGTCTGGTGAGCGGCTAGTTGAGTGGCACTCTCGACCTGCCTGCATCCTGTTGTGTGGAGAAGAATAGAGCCCATGCAGACAGTACGCATTCTCGTGAGTCCCAGACTGCACCATGCATTACTATTTTCAGAGCCAAAGCTCCAGCGGACGTGTAGTCACTATTGGAAAGCACCTGCTTTTGCCTCTATACCCAACCAGCTAATCATGCGCAACACAGGCAACGCCATATAACGCTGCGCCATGCCCGCAACAACCATGCCCACATCACAACAACATGCCTGCATTGTGCCTCAACTTCAAAACACGCAGGGCCACTGGAACTGTTCCCCAGCAAATCACGACAGAACTTTTGCTACGTGTCCATGGACCCCTCCCGCCGCCTTGCCAAGATCCTCTACCATGCCTATGTGCCGTACTGGTAGCGCGTTGTCAACCGGCCTCACGCCGTGCAAGCCCTGCCGGTCAATACCACCGGCGCCCCCGGCTGCAACTGCCAGGCAATTCGAACAATCAACCCGAAAGAATGCAGAGAGCATGTAAAGCATACGAGCGTCGAACACAATTCAATAAAGCATAGGAACGGGCCGGCCATGTCCTTCGCTGTCTACGTAATTCGAGGTATCTAGCGGGCTCATATATAAATGCGAACTGCATAACCTGCCCACCGGTGTCCACATAAACATTCGGACCGGCCATCTCTTTTCCATGACTTGGTGTGCATTTATTACTCTTGAGGATCCTCAGATTTGTACTACATGAAGATGGACGTAAACGCTCAGTTTTATTGGCGGTCTCGCCACAGCCCCGGTCTGCTTGCAAGCATCTCACCAGCTGTAACTACCCCCCTGCTCCCTTCCTTCTACAAGTTGCCACTCCAGACGACAGACATGGCACACGACAGGCAGTCCCTCCCTTCCGCACTTCCCTTTCCCAGATAATCCGCTGCCAGTCATAGAGGCACACGTAAAGCGACAAAACGTGTCATTTTCCACTCATGCACGCTTGTCATCTCCGAGAGTGCTTACTGGCGGATGCACCGTTGCCCACCAGCGCACAGTGCAGTGACTTTGACGTCATGCCCACCATGGCGGCAGCGGCAGCAGCCACCATCGTTGCCAAGGCGACAGCGGTGCCAACCCAGCCCAGCTGCTGATCCCTGCCTTTATGCCCTCCAGGCAATGGGACCCACCAATCAATTCTCCCTTCCGCTTTTCCTGCATTTCCCTCTTCTTGGCATTTGTAATGTGCAGCTGGCACCACCTGCGGGCGGGTTTTTTTGCAACCCGGGAGAAGGAATCCTTCTTAACTGGATGCAAGAAATAAACGCCATATATATCCTCCCTAATGGGAGCGAGGTATGGTGGACGCTAGGGGTGCCACACCTCACGGACAGCACCAATAATAGGCACACGGCCCAGCCAGGCAAGCAGCATGCGATGTGCACGAGCACATCAACACATTAACACGCCACCACACTGGCTACATAACAGCAGCGCGATGCAGCAGCGCGGGAGGGTTCACGCATTATGCGTGGCTGACTTTCAGTCTACAATCCGACATTCCCCAGCAATTTCCTTCAGAGGAGCTCCTCAGCCTGCCAACCTGGCACCGATGTCCATGGCCATCAACACCCCATGCACGGCCACCTACCCGCACGTTAACAAGCTCCGCCGCGGCCACCTGGACGCTGTGATGCATTAGCTCATCATACCACTTGCCCGAGCCACCGCCGTTGCCACAACTGCCGGCCGACTGGGACTCCGCCACGGCAGGAGCCGACAAACTAGGCTGGATCAGCCTCACCTCGGCAAGCGCTCTCCTGCTTAGACCAAGTGCCGACCAAACCCATGGCCCCACGCCATGGGGCGGTGCTGCAACGCTGCCTCCGTCGCCGTCACAGCTACCGTTAGGTAACGCTGCCGCCTGGACCTCGAAACTGACATTCCGCAGCACAAGGCCAAACACGAACTGCGTAAGAGTGGGTGCCGTCGTCAGCCACGCCCTGCTCCCGTAGGGCCCAGGTCGCATGTCCAACTTCACCCAGAGCTGCATCCCGCCGGCGGTGCCGCTGCCCCCTGGCGCCCCCTTCATCATCGACACTGTTGGGGCTGCCGCCGGCACCGACGCTGCTGCGACCCGCCGCGGCAACTGCCCGCCGGCATCGCGTTGGACGCCCGATGCAGCATCTATTGTCGCCTTTCCCCCTGCAGCCGCCGTGGTAGCCGCGGCAGTGGCAGCGGCTCCTCTCTGCTGCTTCTGCGGCGGCGGCGGCAGCAGCGCAGTATCGACTCCTATTTCCGTCGCTGCATCCTCGTCTGCGCCACACTGCAGCGGTGTCACCTTAATCCGCACATCCTGCAGCAGCACGTCTTGTACCAGGCTCTCCGGGGACCCTGCAATCACCACGACCCCGCCCTCCGCTTCGGCCACGATATCTACGAAGGAGACGTTGACGATCCTGCCCACGCGGCTGCCCAGTCCTCGCGGCAGGGCGGTCACGTAGATGGGCTCCCCTGCGCCCCACCATTTGCCAGGATAACGTCGCGTGGCGACTTGCACTTGGCGGAAAGCCACGTCGCGAATGGTGCCGTGGTCCCGGAGCTGGATGGCCAGGCCGCGGTTCGAGTCAAGCACCTGAATGAAATGCCCCGACCGCCAATTTTTAACGGAGTGGGTGGGAGTGGATGGGAAACCGCCGAGGCGACGATTCGGCAACCCAACACGGTAGCGGGGCACGGTCACTAGGAGACAGCTAGATGAATGCGGCTAGAAAAAAGGCCCATCTACAGTTTGGATAATGCGGCGCATAGATGCTTTGTGGACGCGCAACAAAAGGGCAAGACCAGTAGGCGGGACGAAACGGCTCAGAATCGTTGTCGGCGTTCTTCCTTGTACCGTGTGCCCAACGACATTTCCACATGGCGCGCATGACGGTCGAGCTTGGGATGCGTGCTGTAGCATGCCGTACGGTCTGCCGTAAGTTCACCGTTACCTGGATCTGATGCCTGTTGCGAACACAAACATCAGGCCCAGATAACGGTAAACTACCGGCAGACCGTACCGGAGCAGGCGGCTTCCGGACTCATCTACCTTAAGATGCGAGAAGGTGATGTTGGTCATGTCCGCCTTCGTCTCACTGCCCAGCTTGACTGCAGCGCTGCGGGACCGTAATGTGCAGTTGCTGACCAGCACGTGCCGCACAGCCCGCTCACCGCCGCTGGTGGCCTTTATGCACACGGCATCGTCCGCCGTAGCGACGTACGACTGCAGCAGAGTCACATTGCTGGAACCGTCAATGTCGATGCCTGCAGGCCGGCGGCAGCGACATAAGGAGCGGCGCCAACAACCTCATTATCGTTGGTAATCCACTGGCCACAACGGCCAACAAAGCGAAGAATCAGAACGCTGCCCTTCACAAATGTGAAATCACCGCAGCAAGTCACAAACGTGAAACCACCGCGGCAGCAGTAGCTGGCACCCCCAACCCGCAATATGCCGTTGCAACCCTGATTGCAGGCCATTTCCACAAACTTACTAAACCCACTTAATTAAACTCAGTCGGTGGGAATTTCGTTTTCTCCACATCAATCTGTCCAGAACTCAGCGGCTGCCAAGCGGAAAATGGACACGCGCAACAAACAAATCCCACCTACTCCAATACCGCCACGTTTAAACAACATGCACGGCAGCACAGTACGGCGCGGTACGGAACTGTGGGCTGGCTGACTTCCATGCGTGGGGCAGCAGCCCTAACCGCGCTGCGTTTTACCTTGAATGCATCAAATTCGCGTACGACTCCCGTTGCATGCGTACATACAATAACCTACACTCCCCTTCGGCACCAACATGGCCGAAGATCCACGCGTGCCTGCCATCTTCCTTATCCTTCGGCGACCCCGGCTCTGCCTGTGTCCCATCTCCCACCGGCCAATGTAGAAACCCACCGTCGTTGTTTGGGAAGTTCATGTCGCCCTCCACCACCAAGCCGCGCATGAACACGTGTTCGCTGTCGCGAACGTGGAGCGTCCAAAAGGCCGAGTCGCGCAGAGCCATTTCTGTGATCTGCACGCCGCTGCTCTCGCACACGCCTACTAGACGCGGCCGGCACTGTCGCCGGGAACGGCAGGATGCGTCTTCCCAGTTTCGGATGCCATACGGCGTAGTACTGAGGAAACCAGGCGGCCGGTTGCGGGCGGCACACAACGACAATGCGGGCCCAAATGAGCTAAGCAGGCGGAGAAATCCCAAGGGACGTAGAAAAATTGGTGCAAGGCAGCGTCGTGCATCCATGGCAAGAGCAGGATAACAGGAAGCCTCTAGGCGACGGTTGTAGTATACATATACATAGTCCATGGGGGCCCCCGGGCTTTCACGGACACACCCGCATTCGTGCGGCACTTGTAACTCGTTAGGTGTGTGTTCGGCTGGTAGCCATTCAGGGACCGCGTGGCGTGTTCCTGTGTCCATCCCTACAATACAGACGGAGTGGCTAAAAGATAGACGGACGGGCGATTAGAACCCCGCCGTCTTGGACCTTGCCTGTTATCAACGAACTCCCATGCAGGTCCCTGGATAACTCCACCGCCGCTCAGGCTGCACTCAAAGCAGCGGTGGAAGTGCAGCAAATACCAGTTGTCTTGGCGGGCACCGTAGTGGCGTCGCTGCCAGCAGGATAGCGAAGGGCCACATGTCAGATTGTTGTAGGCTTGAGGTGTCAACTGCTTGAACTAGGGCCGAAAAAACTCGACCCGCAAAACGGCACGTGGCTGCCAGGAGACAGCCGGGGTTTCAGATAACGTAATGGACAGGGCTCCGGAAATTCAGAGGAACAAGTTCAGGACGGTGGCATTTTCCAAGGTTGAGGCTTAAGTTTGGCGGCGGCTCAGCGAGCTGCTGATTCCATGGCGTGGGCCTGACTAATACCCTACACCATACCTGGCCACTTGCGAGCAGGGTTGCACCCTTGGGCACCTTCACATATATTTCCCTGCCGGAAATTGTGACCTGTCCCATAAGGTATGTCTTCCCGGCGGCAAACTCAACTATGCCGCCTTCCTTGCATGCATTGACCGCCAAGGAGACGGCAACCGTATCCAAACGGCTCCCGTCGCCTGCAGCTCCGAAGTCATCTGGCTTGCAAGTCCTAAGCGGGATCGATAAAGCGCCTTCCGGAAAGTAGCTTAGGAAGAGCAGAAGAGCCAGCAGAGTGTCCTGCAGGCTGTCAGGTAGGAGCTTCATTCCATTCCTCCAACTGGCCCTTCCTACATGTCTATTGAGTTAACGGTTAGTAGTCTATGAGTCGATGAACTCGGTTGGGAGTATGGCAAGCATACTTTACAAATCCGCAATCAGGTGGCCTGGTTAGTTGAAATGCAGTCGCTGTTTATCATAATACGGTTCCACTCTTTCGTGTACAAAAGTGTTCTTACAGTGAACCAGTTACTTTTATGTATAAGATGCGCTTATAACATCTAATATTCCCGGTTACAGCTTGGCTTTGGACGGCCTGGACTGCTGACTCATTTACTGCAAATGTATCTCCGTTAGCAGCTGTTGCCTTGATAGTGATTAGTATTCGAGAAGGTCTTCCACTTGTGCTCCATCGGGCCGCCTCGCAGCATGGGCGATTCTCAGGTACAGGGTTTGCTGTGCGTCCGAGGAAGTCACCTGGTCCTGGTTTGTTACCCAAACTCTTTTCGCGAACTAAATTACAGGTCGGCTTCCCTGGTCAGTTTCCTGGTCAGTTCTCTGCGGCTTACGGCATGCCACAGCAGAGTAACCACCAAGCGGAGCAGCTAAAGGCCTTCTGGCAAAGTCAGTTAATAGAGGTTGCCGAAGTACCACCGGATCCAGCGGTGTTCAAGAATCATCAACTTCCGCTCGCTAGGATTAAGAAGGCAAGGCAGCCTGTTGGATGGCGTGAGCCATTGGTTGGATGGCTAAGCAAACACCTTTCTGCGCCGGCAGATAATGAAATCAGACGAGGACGTGCGCATGATCAGCGCGGAGGCTCCTGTCCTTTTTGCCAAGGTCAGGCTGGAACCGGGTTATCGTACGGTCCTGGTCCCGTGCGTTGCCACGCCTAACCACAAATTGATGGGAGAAGGTTTGGGGGAAATTTCCAGGCCCATGTACCCTACAAAACCCTTGGGCGAGGTTGAAATTCCTGTAGGACAGGCCGCCGCACCTCGCATGAAACCCCGTCTCGGTTTTTCTTTCCCTTGGCCAAGGAAATAGCCACGGTCACGCACATGAGACCAACTGACCACGCCTATCACTCCGCTGTCCTGTTCACATAGGCTTGTGAGATGTTCATTTTGGAGCTGACGTTGAGGTCTTGGATGCACGCCGAGGAAAACAAACGCAGGACACTCCAGCGAAACGACGTGGCAGCCGCAATCACAAAAACGGAGATCTTTGACTTCTTGGTGAGCGCATGGCCGACCACGCAGCCAGTCCGATAGCATGTATGTGTCCTTGCCGCGAGCCTAGCTACCATCTGTGCGTTGGAACACCCCCTTGCTCGGCGATAGCTTAGGCCACCTCTTTAAGATTGCGTAATCCCTTTGACCCACTGGATGAACCTCCCCAGCTTGACATTGTTCCTCGAGACGATAGCAAGCAGGACGAAGCCGGGGGGACAACAGGGCCGGCGGGGACCACCACGCCCAGTGCACCCCCGGCACCACCGCCAGCGGCTGCTGCGGCCGCCCAGGCAGCCCCCACAGCTATGCGACCCCAAGGAACGATTACTCATCCTGCGCTCGGTACGAAACTGCAAAATGCTGTAAAGCATAAGCATAACAAAAAGCCGATAGCATGTTTGCAACGGAGGCGGAAGGCTCCGCGTATTTTTATAACAGAAGCACTTGTGCGAGCGGTAGTATGAGCACATTGCCCTCGGCTGCCTGCTGAACACTCTTTTATGGAAATAGCTTAAATGGAGAGCATGCAGGAGGGGCTGCATTGCCAAGATCGGGATATTAAGCGGGACGCTGCCGCTTTGCAATGGCCCTGTACAGGACCCGGCTCCCTGTACTTCCCGACACCGTACCCGATCCCGCCGGGGGCCTTAGGTGGTGACCCCAGCCAGGCGGCGGCAGCTGCAGCTATGATGAGGCCGACCCTGCCGCCCATGGGAGTGGACCCTGCCCTGGTCTCCCTCTACCAGCAGCAGCTCCTCTCAGGGCAGGCATGGCCGCACATATCGGGGCTTCCGCCACCGCCAACTGCGCAGGGTGCGGCGGCAGCGGCGGCGGCGGTGGCAGCCCAAGCACAGCAGCAAGCAGCGGCGGCGGTGGTGGCTGCCCAAGCACAACAGCAAGCAGCGGCGGCGGCGGTGGCAGCCCAAGCACAACAGCAGCAAGCAGCGGCTGTTGCCGCAGCCCAAGCACAACAGCAAGCAGCGGCAGTTGCCGCAGTGCAAGCGCAGCAGCAAGCAGCGGCAGTGGCGGCGGCCGCAGCAGCGGGGCCGACGCAGACAGCAGGTGCGACGGCGGGCTCTGCAAACACGCAGCTACAACAGCAGGTGCAGGGCCACGGGCAAGGGCAGCAGGGTTCAGCTGCGGCAGCGACCACTCCCTCCTCGGGGCACACGGACCAGCAGGCCGCCGAGCAGTCGGAGAAGAATTCGTGACGGATGATGCTAACGCAACAAGCCCGATAGCTTGTCGCGGGCATGCCTAGGTTGCATGGTGTGCTCCTTGACATAGAGCTTGTGCTGCGTCCCCTTATAGCAGGACTGTGTCTCCTTCTCTCAGCTTTTGTGAAGAACCGATTGCATACCCGAGCATATCACCGTAGCGGACAGTGGCTTGGGAGGAGAGGCACGCATGGTGCACGAGCGTTAGGTTGCCTCGCATGCACCCCCGCGGTTGGCCTCCGGCGGAGTGCCCCTCAACGAGGCTTCACTTGGCAAAGCACATGCAATTGATTGCGCGTGACGTCTCCAGGTGCGTAGGGGCCTGTCAGCCTGCCCCACGGCTCGCTGCTTTGTCGCGGTATGGACCTGTATCGCCAGTGACTTGTAGGCCTCGATTACGGCGTAGCTGTAACGGCTTAACTTCGCTGCCTCTTTCAGGACAACTACAGGAGATATTAACGAATGACAAACATGCAATTGGGTATGGCACGTGTGGAGGTCCCCGCGTTTCTTGGGGATGTTGGCCTGTGGAGTACCTCTCTTTCTGTTTGCGCGACATTTTCTTCCGTATTTTTGGATGTAATCTCTTTTTTAACAAGCCATGCTCCTGTTGTTTGTGTGTTTGTTAACCGTGAATTGAGGGCAGCTATCCTTCCGCATTCAAGCCGAACTGCTGGGCTTGGTGAGTTGTGCCCATGATAGCAGTCTTTTGGTCCAGTCAGGGCCTTAGCAGCCATGATTGTTCATCAGTCATGTAGCGATGCCCGGTGCTTTTTGCTGCGGCACTCGGATCGGTTTGCTGTGCTTCATGTGATTTCCTACTCGAGCTATGGTCCTCTCGTTTCTTTGCTGCTTTCGAGATACTTACTATACGTGGGTGCTATGTTGTTGACGGTTGAAACTCTTCCACAGTCAACCCTTTGTTATGTTAACGATTAACGTCTGCTTGCCGCCAGACACGGTATATTTGCAAGAGCTGCAACGCACGTTTGCCTCCAGGTATCGCCGTGTGTTTCGCCACTCAGCTCGAGTGCATTCCAAGGGTGTTTCCCGATATGCAAAGCTGGCTTGTGCGCGTCAAACCTCAATCGTGGGTGACTCAGCACGTGCACGGAAGGTGGTGCACGGAAACCCATCCGAAATCCGTAAATATGGCAATGGCAGGGTACGCTTTCTTCACGGCTGCGCCAGGACATGGTGATATCCCTTGTTGCCTACCTGGCCTACGGCAGTCGTGACTTGCCTCGGGCTGAGATGCGGGGAAAATAACCGTGGATGCGGCACCATAATCGGTTAGTACGGCAGCACCTAACAAGGCAATACGTACTTACACAAAGTCGTTCTGTAACAACTTAGCGTATACAGAGCGCTTCTATATTGCTGGTTGATTAGGTTAAATGGCAGGCAACGGCCCTCCTTCAGCGGCAGGAATTGCCAGTCAGCTATCCCGTGTACTTTGGAAAGTAAGCTTGTTAAGCTCATCCCATGCCTTGTAATAAGATCTATAACTTGAATTACAAAGAGCGCAGATACACGAGCTCGAGGCAACTTTAGCATCATATGATGCATCTCACGCGGAGCTGCTGGAGCAAAGATTAGTCCAATATGAAGAGCTGCTATCAGAAACGAGAGATATGTTGAAGCGGAGAGGAGACGCGGCCCCGGGGGAGGAGACCCAGCGGAACACCCTCGAAGGGCGGAAGGTCCCCGAGGAGCTCGTGCGGTGAGCTCAAGGCTGCGCATGCTCTCTCCCCTTCACACCACGCGTAGCTGCAAGTTGACCGGATACAGCGGAAGACGGCCACTGGATGGCACGCAACCATTGACTTCTGCTGCTGCTTGCTCGGCCGCTGGATGCTTAATGAACGCCCGCCTCCGCGATCGTCTACAACATTCTGGACACTGGACACAGTCAACAGCTGTGTTACGATGGTCTCCGTTACATAGCTGTAACCCTTGGCCCCTACACATCGCGCGCAGGGCACTAGATGGGGGAGTAAACCCGGACGAGTACCTGCGCGAGACCTTCAAGTTGTGCCGTCGAGATAACCAGGTATATGCTTCAGGGCGGGGCCCCTATCACCGCCATTCCCCTGCGTCCGCACCGCTGGACGCAGCAACCGGAAGCGTGCAGGGAACCAGCAGTCGCCTCCTGCGCATAGCTGAAGGGCGTGTCGTGGGGCGCCATAACCAGTTGCCTTGCACCTACATCGACCAGAGTTTACGCCGCCAAGGTCCGACTAGAAATCATAATCGCGAGTTAGCACTCCCCATGGCGTTGGGCGGCCACCGCTTTGGCTGGAAAAGCGCGTGCATATCCAAATTACAGTGCTGCTGTGCATTTTCCTTTGCACCTCCTCCCCTATCCGCTGAACGGGAGAGGACCCAACCCGATAAGGCGGCCCTCCTGTCACGTACTCCCGACGTGTGCCTGGCATGGCCGAAGTAGTTACCTTCCATTTGCCTTTGTCTCTTCAGCAGCACATGATGACGCGCAGCCCCTTACACAGAAAGTTGCTGCTGTGCGCAGCCCCATACCTTATTGGCCTCAGCCACAGCTCCTGTGTGGGTTCCCCTGGCCGCCACAGATCAGCAAGGGAAAATGCGAGGCACTTCAGCTACTGTTCGCCAACCTGCTGACCGACTCAGCTGAGGTGTTTCCGCAAGAGGCTGCCGAGTACAGGTGCGTAATGCGTACGGTTCATCATGCGTGCAGAACGTACATTATACACGCATTAAGGCTGGGATTACGAGGGACGAGGGCCCTGCACGCACAACACTTGGTAGGGACGGGTGGTAGGTTACGTGCGAGTGTGTCTTGGTGGGTGGCGGCGGCTGCTCGTCGTTCTCGACATATATGTGCCGCAGCGGCACCCCTGACTCGTGGTGACCGCCGCGCCCGCCATTGACAGACGTGGGCGTGGAGGAGATGTTCCGCTCCATTTACGCCTTTACCTTGCTTAGGAGAGGCGACTGCGTTGATGGTTGTCGCGCAAGGGTCAGGGCTGTCTTTTTTTGGGTTACGGACATATGTCACCAAGCGCTGCAGCAATGATTACTGGATGCGGTGCTCGCGTATTATAAAAAATACATAACATACGTAATGATGTGGTCAAACCAACTTTTTTCCTTTCCCCTGATTTTTTGTTTTCGTAGGCAACTTCTGGGCTTGTAGCATAACGTGCGTCGTTGGTCGGCGGCGAGAGTGCATGGATTAGGTTTTCTCTTGCGTCGCCTTTCTATTTATGTTTAAAGAACATTACCGGCGGTCGCCTTTTGGAGCTGATCCCCGTTCTTCGTCTGAACCATGCATGGGCAAGGCAAAGTCTCGTTAGTCCTGCAGACGTCTGGCGTCTTCTTGTTTCATCGTTGGCAGTGTCTTTTCATTTCGGACATCTTTTCACATGTAATGTGTGTAAAGGCATTTATTTTTTGCCGTCATGGTGGTGGATTGTTAACAGGTAAGAAGACTGATGCGATTATAACATCAATTGATCGGGTTGGTCGACATGGTCGCACATGGCACGGATACACGATATTCGGGACGGATTGCAAGTATGAAGTGTTACAACTGTGCTTGTGATTTGCATATCGTTGCATTATATATACAGCGTGGGCGGGTTTTCCAAAGTTATGCCAATGTGCTCGTGGTGGGGGGGATGACACAGCACTGAACAACATCAAGGTTCGCCCTATTCGTACGCAACCATAATGTCCTCATGTAAGAGATCGACATCTCGACGCATAGATGTGAAGTTTGTTATCCCGTGACAAACCTTATTTCAGGTTGCAGAAACACCATCCTTGCACTTTATTTGGAAGCTCTCACTCGTACTTTGCAGCTACTGTGAGAATTGAACTGAATTGGTCACCACGTAAGCGACAGACCAATCGTCGAAACTCCTCTACACATTTCACATGTACTGTACGGAACAACACATGTGTCTTCTGCCATGTATCCGGCGCGGCAGACTTAATACTCGGGTAGTACACGTGACGTTGACCGGTCACCTGCCGATCCGCAACGGCAGCAGCCAGAGAAACACGAGTCTGTGCATGCCTCACCACCCACAAACACCCACAAAGTATGTTCATGGCCATTTCCTGTGAAATTACAGAGCTTCAGACGAGTAGTAATCATTCACAAAACCATATACCACATTCGATGAAAGCTATCATGAACCATCATCAGGCCCAACATCCAGACCAGCAGAGCTGCTGAGCTATGCACACCGTGAAATTTCTACTTGGCACCCGCCAAGTCCGCGCCCACTTCCCCCCACGCCTTCCCCTCTCACTTCCCCCCACACCCGTTTCCGTGTTCTCCTCAGTCCCCTCACACTGCATTCTGCTCCGCGGCAGGTCGTGGCGGCCAGGTGGCTGGGTTGGAAGGCAGCAGCGCGGGTCGGATATCCGGATACCCCCGCGGGTGCAGCGCCACATGCTGAGTCACAGGGGGCGCCATCAGGTGGATGATGTGCTCCAACTACAGTAAGGAAGGCGGATTGGACGGGCAACTGCCGTTTACATGACTTTCGCGGTAGGTCAGAAGAGACTACGATATTTAATTTCTTTTGCTTGATGCAAATTCTAGAATCCGCAGCTTCGTGGGATAACGAAGCCACATTGCCAACTGTATGTATTTGATTTGCTGCGAATTGAGAAAGTTCGACTAGGACGCGCTTGGCCAGGCAGGTCCAGACAGAAATGCGGCATGTGGATAGGAAGGACACCTGAAATAAGAATGTCCCACCACACACCAGAAACTACCAAATGAGCGGTCTGCGCGAAGTCCAGGCACCCACACCCTCCGCACAACAAAAGAAACGTCTACCCACCAGCTCGCGAGGCAGCTCCGTCAGCAGCTCCCCCAGGCGAGAGGCCGATTTCTCCGCCTCGGTCTCCACCCGCGCCTTGGATTTCCCGCCGCTGCGCGCCGGCAGGTTGTACAGATTCACAGCCACACATTGCTGTTCCCCCTTGTGGGTTAGGCGAGGTCCGCGATCCGGTGTTGTCGACGACGCGACGACACCTGTGCCGGCAGCCTCCGCATTCGGAGGCGATTGAGCGCGCATCTGGACCAGGCCAGGAGCCTGGAGCTCCCGGGAACCCGTCGCCGTCGGCGCCGCCGCCGCCAGAAGTGCGGAGGCCAAAGCCGACGACGGCGTCACGCGGCGGTCGCATGTGGGCGTGCGATCCACCTGGCTAGAGCCGTCGTCCGACTCAGCGGCGTCAGCGGCGGCGTCTCCGATGGCGGCGCCGTCGAGCCAGCGGATGTTGGCGGCGTCCGCAGCACTTGGCGGCGAGTCGCCGGTGGAGGGCGCGCACACGCCGATGGCCTGCATTGCGGGCTGCGCTGCCAGCACGACAGCGCATATGGCGTTCCTAGCCGTACATGTGGCGGACGGCAGGCAGCGGGCGGGCGGGGCAGCCGTTTGAGATGCCACACTAGGCCAAGGCATGCTTTCCACTTCAACCCTAAAGTGACATCGACGCACAAACGGCATATCTCGTATCAAGTGGTACTAGGCAAGCGCATTTCACGGCCGGTACAGAGTTTCAAGGCTGTTGACCCTAAGTGTGGCCAAATCCAACGATGCCGGGAAGGTTGCAGGGGCAACATCTTCCGTGTGTAGCCATCCGACTACCTAAGCACAGCTCCCACAGGCTGCATGGCAAACCTTGAGCCGCACGCACCTGAACATGCGACACATGACGTTGGCAATGGTACGCTGTGCCTCAGCTGCAGCCAACGCTGCTGCTTGCAGATCTGGACGCTGCAAGCGCTGGTAGGTGAGGAGAAGAGCCCGACTGGCGGCCTTGTAATCCGCCGGAAATGCGGCGTGGGTCTCTCGCTGCAAGGGCAAGAACACAAAAGGGGAGGTGAACGTGGGGACGCGTATGGCGTCAAAGTAGTGTTCACTAACACTGGCAGGGACAGCAGCAAGCAGGAGCAGCAACGGCGACACAGAGCGGTGGGCTTTCCATGGATTGCAGCTATGTACTGAAGGTTTACACATTGTACGGGAATTCTCATGTCACCAAGCTGCCCTTCCGTTGTGTCGCCAGCCAGTCGGACCTACTTGCAGCGGTATACATGCATAAATATGTCCACAAAGTTGTTGACATATATAGGGTTTGCTTGCCGATGGGCAACTCTGCTCCCGTCTGTACGGCAGTTTCTAGCTTTTCAACAGACATATACATAGATCGCTATGTTGCTTGCAGCAAAGGCATACGTACGTACATGCATAGCTCCCAGGTGTATCACCTCAGTCTTCGGCCTCACCGTGTGCTGCAGTGGCGGCGGGGACGTAATGATCACACGCTTGGGCTGCGGGCGAGAGGCGCGGCGGCCGAGACCTAGGCCCAGTCCCCCGTCGGGCGAGACAGCGGCCAGCATCTCCTCGGCGTAATGCGCCATCCTTCCGCCCACCACCATCCTCTCTCCGCTGGTAGAGCACCGGAACATCCAAGGGTGTGACACATAGGTCTCGTAACTGCAAGTACGGCAACAAAAAGGGTGGAAACTGACATTCGTCGCGGGAGCGATGCCGGGAGGAAGGAACGGCATGCACGGGCCATGCAATTCCTCGAGGACTGTTTTATGTAGGCTACAAAGGAGCTTTTGCGCTTCATCAAGCCACGGATAGTTTAAAAATATGTCAGTGCCGCTGCTCTTCAATCCAACACCACTGCCACTTACACCTTAGCTTGGCCAGGCTGCAGTGCTCCGTACGGCACCTCCTGACCTGTCCGGGAGCGGCAGAAAGTGAAATGGGCGACGGAGACAGACGCTAGCTGATTAGGAGATCCAATAATGGATGCCCAAGCAACGAAACATATAACATAAGCTAGCAATGCAGCAAGCTACTGCGACACCCAAAAACCACGACCGGAACAGGGGCGGGGACGAGGACTGCAGGAGAAAAGAAACTGGCATACAACGTAATTAATAACCGTGTGTAAAGCCGCCGTATAGCAGCTGCTAGACCGGTCCGTTTGAACGCATGCGCTTCATATCCACCGGTCCAATCCTGACGCGGTGTGTCCCTGTGCCGGGCCGTAGCCGTTAGATACCGCCCTCTCCCTGCCTCTCCCATCCATAATAGGGGGCCCGCCGTTGGGTTCCTGGGGTGAGCTGTCGCTCTCGCTGCCGACCTCCCGGGGGGCAGTACCGTTTTGGCGGGGCTAGGAGGCCAACACCATCAGGCTGTAACTCCCCAATCTGACAGTGAGGCGCAATAACTGGTTTTAAGTAGTTGTAATTCTCACGCCGCAGCCAAACAGCTAGCCAAGATGGTACACATGCTGTAACAGCAACGGCCATTTTCATTGGCGGCAATGGGCCGTCAGCCACAGCAAGCGTCAACACAAAGCGTCATCCCACAGCACGCCAGGGAGTGAAGTGCGATATGTACCGCCCTCACCTCCGTAGTTGAGCCAGAAGGCCGTGACACTCCGACTAGACTCGTTGGCGAATACAACCCGAGTGCGCTGGTTGCTGTTGAGAGACCGGAGGAAAACCTGGAAGGCACAGTTTTGTTAGGTGCGAAATAGGGGCGGGTGAACAACCGGAGACGGGATTGCGTGGATGCGTGCTCCCGGGTGCCATGCAGAGGTTAGATTTGCATTAGCACAACATAAAATACTGCAACAACATAAAAGAACTGCTAGATCGAAACTTTTAAGTATGTAAGTTTAAAAAGGTAGGTAAAAAGTTCAGGTAATTGTGTATATTGGGCGACCCAGAAGGAGGACAATCCAGATCAAAAGCAGATTCAAATTCGCGAACAGCGTCCCAGAAGGAAGGTCGACTACACGTGCCGCAAGCAAGTATGATCACATGCAGCAAATTGACAGACGATGTGCTCCTTAAAAAAACACGGGCATTTGAAATATCCCAAGCAGCTCCCAAGTTGGAAGCTAAAGCGCCCTGGCGGCAGCTTTTCAGTTGGCGCGAGGAAGCCATCCTCACCATGACAGGGTCGCTCAGCTTCGGCTCGACGCTTGCCACGGCCTTGCTGCTCCCGCCGGCTACAGCTGCCGCTGTTGTAGCCGAGGCGCTCTCGCCCTCCGCCGCCGGCACGTCCTTCATGAGCCACACGCCGGGCTCCAAATCCGTCTCCGGGTCACGCGGCTGCGGCGGCGCCTCGGGCACCTGCTCTGCGGCGGGTGCCGCCGCCGGCGGCGCCGCAGCCGCTGCTACAGGAGCGATCGGAGCTGCCGCCGGCGGCGGAAGCGGCGCCGCTGCCTGCAGCTCCTGCACGGCCTGCTGTACCGCCTGCTGTAGCACATTCTGTGCACCCTGCTGTAGCGCGTCCTGCGCCTCCTGGTGAAGCTCCTGCAGCTGCTGATGCGCCTGTTGTGCCTGCTGCAGCTGGTGCTGCATGTGGTGCATCTGCTGGTGTACTTGCTGTAGCAGCTCCTGCCATTGGTGCCATTGATGCTGCAGCTGACCGCCAGCCTGCTGCTGCTGCTGCGGCGGCGGCGGCGGCGGCGGCTGCAGGTTCAGCAGGTTTGGAGGTATATGCGGAACAGCATCCGGCCGCAGGTGCCGTGGAGCAGGTGCTACAGCAGCAGCAGCAGCAGCAGCAACAGCCTGCTCCCCATCTGGGTCAGCGGGCAGCGCAGGCATAAGGTTGATATCTGGCGCTTGGTTGATATCTACTGCGATGTCGTGGTCGGCCGCCGCCACGGCTGCAGCGGCTGGGAAGGGCAAACCACCCGCCAACCCGAGCGGCAGGTTGTCAATTGGGCCGGCGAGCTGCGGAAGAATACCCAAAATGTGGTTATCGGCCACCTGCTGCTCCTCAGGCAAGGGTGGCAACGGAAGCAGCGGAAGGAAGAGGTTGGCGGCTGCGGCCCCATCTCGGAGGGGCTGGAAGGTGCGCGCGGCTGGGGAGAGCGCAGCAGCACTGCGCGTGGGCGTCGCGGGCGAGCCGGGCGTTTGTGCGGGGGCGCTGGGGCCGCTGCTGCCGCTGGCTGGGCTGATGTTGGCGAAGGCGCGGAGAGCAGTCAGCGGAAGCGGCGAGCTTGGGGCGGAGCGGGGTTGGCGATGAAGGGCCGTCGCATGAGACCGGACCGGCGAACCTATGGCTCCCAGCATTTCGACGAGGATGGCCTTGTTTTACAATATAAAAGACGGTTTCTTTTTATTGTAGGAATTATAAAATCCTGATGAAGCCCAAGCAGCAGGTAGCTTAGGATTTGCGCTCGTGACACTTTGTGTGTGTCGCGCGCCGAGAACCCGCGAGGAAAAACTTCAGCCCGGCCTTTGGGGCTTGGAATAAAGCTCCCGATGATCACGACAGAAAATGATAACTCCTGGTCACGAGAATCCTGTTCGGCGAATAGCCAAAGGAATGAGGGCCTCGCCTTATGTACTCGGCCCGGCTTTCCACGTTATCCCGTGTCGTGCAAATTTCCTTGCATGGGGGGAGTAGCCCGGCCACGAAGGAATCAATCCTCCAAAGTTGTATTATTACGGATATAAGCAATTGCATTTTTTTCTGCTGTGAAGGAAGTATTGGCGCTCAGCACTAATCGACGCGATAGACGTCAGCAGTTGTCCGCCAAGCCAGGACAAGCGGGCCAGCGCTGACTAACTGCTGATTCGAATGAAGGCTGCCACGCTTGTCGATCGTTATGATTATATATCCAATCCCATTTTGTGTGTACATGTCCTACTAGAAGGACCAACCGAAAGAACCCACGTCGCGTCAATGCTTGGGTCTTGGCAAGAGAAGTCGTGTCTCAGCATTTGTTTGGTTTTGCCCAGGAATCAACCATGCACCTGTCCATGTGGGTCAACGCACCTGTGGCTTGTCATCGACTCCGCCCAAGATGTGGTGCACAAGCTGTGGGTGAGGTTTTCGTTCCAGCAACAAGACCCTCATGCGCAGGATGTGCGACATTCACCCCCGAGATGTAACGGTTTCGCCCAAGCGATGATCGGATTGGGGATTTCCGCCCATTATTATCTCCCCCTCCAATCCCCAGCGCGGCCTGTCACGTTGCTAGCGAGACACCTTTATAAAGATCGCAGCCCCTTGCTGAGTCCCAACCCTTCCGGGAAACCCCGTTGACGAGCAAAGTAAAGAAAACACAAAACCCCAATCGAAGGGCGTGGCGAAGCAACTTTCATCTCGCCGAATCCAAAAGGCCATTCCCAAGAACACACCCATAAGATTCTGGCCTCCTTTGCAAGGCTTCGGCCACGTGGGTTCCATCTGAATGAACCAGCTGTAGTTGTGGTTGAACAGAGTGAAGAGGCCCTAACCTTGTTTGCCATTTGGGTTGCGGGTAATCTTGTTTGCCATTTGGGTGTAGCACCCAAATAGCCGCCTATCGACATGTGCTATTCGCATCCTTGCCAGCAAGACATCTGGTTTAGCTCGAACTGCGATGCGCAGGGTGCGGAAATAAACACATGGTACGGGGTCGGTCACGCCCCAACAATTCTTCCAGAGGGCTATATCCCTATCGTGAATGACCTCAGGGTCAGGCCGCTTTCAAGAAGTGCGTTCCGCTCTGATTGATTTGATTCCATGTTCAAGCGCTCATACGTCGCTCTGCTGGCCGCACTTCGCACCCGGTAGGGCAAAGTCAATCGTCGCCATGCACCGCGGAAACGACAAGATCATCTACCTAATAGCCAATTCCCTCCTTTGACAACGGTCCCTGCCTTTTAATAAATGGTATGTTCAAAACAAAGATCTTTTGTGGGAAATTATATTAATTGACCATGGATGTGGGCGGATCTGATCTGCCGTTTGAGGGTGGCCTGCTGCTGAGTCCCGAACCCGATAAGTCCAGGCGCTCACCGCTGCCTTCCTTCTCCGGACTAGCCAACAACAATCAACGCGCACGAAACCGGAATAGCGACGCCCCGTTTGGAAGCCAGCTGCCCTTTCAGGCATTTCATGAGCAGCTCGAGCAGCATCGTCGTCAGGGCCAGTTTTTTCAAATCGGCCGCGGACAACAACAACAAGAACAACAACATCAGGAACAACAGCAGCAGCAGCAGCAGCAACAGCAGCAATCAGGATTAAAGGCACGGAAGCAGCATCGGGACGACTACGAACATGAAAGCAGCGAAAGGCAGCAGCAGCAGCAGCCTCCAGCAAAAACCGCTCGACTGCGACCAGAGCCGCTCCCAGCGGCCTCGTCGCGGTACCCGTCCTCGGCTCCTCATCAGCACAGCAGCGGCGCAGGCAGGCTGACCCATGGGTCACCTATCGGACGTGACAGCGCCGAGGACGGGGGCGGCGACGGTAGCGGCGGCAGTGGTGATGCCAGCATCGGCATGCTGGCTTACCTCATCAGCAGCGGTGTGCTGGACGATGCCGTGGTGGAGGACTCCCCAGGGCAGCCCCGACTGCGGGAGGGCGCTGTGGCGCTGCAGGCAGGTGATCTCCCTCCCCCCCCCACACACACGTGATGGTGAGGTGTGAAACCGTTTCCATACAGTTAAGGAAGAGCAGTGGCACGCGAGCACCGACCGGGGTCGTTCGTTAGGGAAGCTGAGGTTCTCGCTGGCTCCCTCCACGCCGCGAAGCTGGACTAAAACACGAATATGAACCTGAGCCGGAATCTGAAGGCGCTCGTTTTCCTAGCACGTGAACCCAACCCTACGCGGGCGATAATGGTGATGATGGTGATAATGGGTTCTCAGCGGTTTACCTAGCGGTTTACCTAGCATAGCGATACGACCCAGTTGAAAAGTCGTGTTGGCCTCTTATTTGTCGCTGCCTGCCCTTCCGGCCATCCGTCCCCTAACCGTAAAAAAACCTCCACCCGCCACCCGCCACCCGCCCCGGGACCCATCCCATCCCCGAGCTCCCCTAGCTAGATGTGATGCATCTCATGGACGCAGAGACCCACCTTGGGGCGAGCTGGATGCAGGACCCCAGTGAGTGTCCCGGGGGGGGAGGGAAAGAGGGCGGTGAGAGGGATTGAAACACACAAGCTACTGCCGCCTGCCTCTCCATGCTTACGTATACACGCACACGCACGCATGTACGTGTGCGCGCGCATGCATGTGTAATGTGTGCGTGTTTACGAAGGGGAATCGCCTGCATTCAATTCCAAAGTGGTAGAATGATGAACACTTGAGGCGCGAGGGGGTGTGGGTGACCTGTCGGGTCATCGATCCCGGTACAATTCCAGGAAGGAACTATACATGGATCTCCCGCCCGTCGGCGGCAGCCCTCGCTCACCTCCACCCACCACCCACCCCCGGTGATGCGCCAGCATCATACAGCATTTCCTATAGTTGCAACATACAGCACTGCCGGCAATCAATAAATCAATCAATCTGAAGCGCGGCTGCACTTTCTCCCCTCCTCTCAACCCAGTCCCTCTCACTACCCCCTTCCGCGTGTGGTTGTGTGCTCGCCGCACCCACAATCCCTGTGTTTGCTCACGTGGGCACAGAAGGCGCCTCGTGGGGCCTTATGGACGAGCTGCACAGGGAGGGCCTCAGTGCCAGCACTTGCCCGCGCGTGTGGCTGCGGCCCACCCAGGTGGGGTGCGGCGGCGTGCGTGCGTGGGTGGGTGGGTGGGGCTCGTGTGTGTGTCCGTATGCGTGTGGTGTATTGCCGGTATTGCCGACCTAAGCTGTTGAAAAGAAGGGGAAACGGATGGCGGCGGCATGAAGCGGGAGAGTTTGTAAACTCCTACATCCTCACTGATTGGCAACAGCGGGGAGATACGATACACACAGCCGCAGAGCAGCACCGTAATTACCCACATGTACCACTTGCACCCACCATTGCCGGTGTCCAACCCCCCCTCCCGTCGCCATCGGCAGGTTAGCTTTGGGCTTCCTTCCCTCGTCTTCCCTCCCTTTCCTCTGGCTCCCTTGTCCCTCTCGCCTAGCCTTCTTGCCTTACTCGTTCGCATCTCCTCGCCTTGCTGACTCTCTGTCGCCTCCACGCGCCCAACCCCGTCTTGGGCTCTGCTTAGCTGCCCCACAGCAATCGCAGCTGACTGTCACTTATATCTACCCGGGTCCATATGTCCCTAGTTACATCTGATCTAAAACCCTTAAGTCCGCACCTACACGCCCTGGTCTGGGTTGACGCTACTGCGATTAGCGGTTTAAGGTCCTGGGTTTGATTCCCGGGGAGACCCCCGAATTAGTCGGGAGCGCGAGATTATGGCTAGCTGCTGAGATGTGGAATTGAGGTCAAAGTTGATGGGCCAGATTCGCACGCTGGATTGGTGGCGATTGCCGAACCCTCCGTCTCTTCGGATGTTCGGGTGAATGGATGAGGAGGGGTCCCTGAAGGCTGGATCCGTCGCCTTGGACTTACAGTTCCTATGGCGAAATACAGTGTGGTAGTGGTGGATGGTACTATAAGGTGATAAATCGTAAAACTGACAATGTGATAAAGCGGCCCAGAAGCCTCCCCCACTCTGTAACATTACATTACATTATATTACACGCCCACCACACGCATCACGCACCGCTCTCTCCCCCCCCGACCCCGCTGCCCCGGCTCAGGTGCCACTGCCCTGCCAGCCAGTGGACGCGCTGATGGCCTTCCTGGCGCACCTCTCCGCCATGAACCATGGGTCATCATCATTATCATCATCATCCGGGTCACCAGCGCTCCAAGGCAACAACAACAACAGCAGCAGGAAGCCCCAGCACATGGGCTCCCCCTCCCCCTCCGCCTCCGCATCTCGCCACGCCTTTCCTGTTTGCTGTTACGGAGTAGTCGTAGCCGCGTCCAGTCTGAGCCGTCGGCCGTACAGCCGCGTGTTGGTGTGTCCACGCTGTGGTACGGCAGTGGAGGTGTTGGACGAGCGGGGATTGCCGCCGGGCGGGGGTTGCAGCTGTGGCGGGGGCTCGGGCTGGGGCGAGGGAATTCTGGGGTTTCCTCCGACATGGGGCCCCGGGGGGGAAGAGGACTTCCAGGAGGATCTGTCGGGACGGTGAGTACGGCAACAGTGAGTACGGCAACGTCTCCCCCTGTCCCGGTGGGTTAGGAATGACGGAACGAATGGGCTGCCGAAGGAGTGAACGGCATCACCTGGGAAACGATCATGCACCGGTAGCGGTCGCGGTAGTGCCCTGCCCTGGTGGCTGCACAGCCCTTAAGACAGCCCGTGTTAGGAGGGGGAGTGTGTGCCCCGCTGCCATCTCGCCTGTTCGATGGGGCAGTTTTTCCGTGTGACGAAGGTTGTGGGAGATCAAGAAGATCCTTCCAACAAGCGCGACGGAAACGCTAGCACTGATGGCCCCTCGCATCGTTACTAAGGAAATGTTTCCCACCGACAACGCCCCGCATCCCTACCTATCTTCTCCCTACCTGGTTCGTTAGGTAGCTCTTTACCACACGTTTTTGCCAACACAAACACATTCCTGCGCGTGCAACCCCGCCTACTTGCGTCCGTACCGTGCACCTTTCCCATCCTCCCCGCCATGCGCCCCACTCCCCACTCCCCACTCTGCGCACACGGACCCCAGTGTGATGGTGGACGTCCAGGACCTCTGGCTGGGGCCGCTGGGCTCCCCTTCCTCGCCTTCCTCCTCCTCCTCCTCCTCCTCGCCCGCCCCGGAGGGGGCCACCGGCGGGAGCTGCTTCTTCACGCGCCTGGCCGCCCTCAAGATCACCTGCGAAGATGACCTGGCGGGGATAGCCAAGGTGCGGCCGTTCCTGGCGCCCACCCGGCTGCTGTGGCCATTACCATCAGGACCACTGCATGATGCGTGTTTGCAGCGGTACTGCCGCTTGACATCACGCTGCCACACCCCTTCGCATCCACAACCATTTGCCCCGCTGACCGCCCTGCGTTGCGTTTGTGTGTCTGTATGTCTCCCCAGGTTGGGGACGTGGTACGAGTGGTGGGACTCGTAAGACTCTTCGGTCCACCTGCTACCGGCCGCAGCACCTCCGCCGCGGCTGCTGCCGGCTCCGCCGCCGCCGCCCCACTCCGCTCCGCCGCCGCCGCCGCGGCAACAGCTGAGCTAGAGGCCCTTTCCATCAGCCAAGTCAGCCCCTTAACGCTCTGGGCTCGGCCCGGTGCCGCCGGCGGCGGCGGCGGTGGCGGCGGCGTCGCCGCTGCCGGCGGTCTGGTGGTATCCCGCAGCCGTCAGCCGCTGCAGCTGCTGTGCGACCTGCTGACTCAGCTGTTGAAGCGAACCGAGGACCCGCTAGTCAAGTTAGCGCTGCTGCTCAGTGCCGTATCTGTACCGGGACCCCGGGGGCCGGTCCAGGAGGGGCCCGGGGGCGCCTCTTCAGACGGCTTCACGAAGGCCGCCGGGGCGCCTCCTCGCCTACTGAGCGGCGCCTCCAACAGGCTCCCAGAAGAACGAGTAAGAGAAGGAGGAGGAGGAAGATGGAGTGATGAGAGTGCCGGTGCAAGCAGGTGCGGGTGTGTGTGTGTGTGTGAGCGTGGCGGAGAAGGGGCAGGCTGAAGCCGCCGGCGCCTCGCAGTCAACCCATGACGGCGGTGTTGAGAGCAGTTCCCAGTACCTTCTGGTCGCCTAAGTCGCCTCAAAGGGTCATCTAGCCGCCCTAGGAAACGAAACTAGCCCACGCCCGGATCCGTTGGCTGCGTTGCTTCTGACGCCCTCCTGACTCCCTCCCCGGAATATGGATTCCCTCATTGAGGTGGAGGCCTTGCATCCTTCTGCTCTAACTTCAGCTGCTCTTCTCCCCGGGCCACACTGCTACTCCGCATTCCTCCGCTTCTCTGTTATGCCGTTGCACACCCCTTTGCATGCAAATCCAACTCCAACTCCGGAAGTGGGAAGTGGGCAGTTGGCAGTTAATCCTAAGTCACTTAGGTTAATCCTGAGTCACCAAGTCACACGCACCCTGCAACACGCGTGTTACCTGGCAGGTCGCAGCTGAGTCTCCTGATGGGGAGCGAGGCCCCGGCGGATCCCCTGGGGCCGCGACTGCTGCGGGCCGCTGCGGCGTTGCTCTGCCCGCACACCGTCGTACTGGGCGGCGGCGCGTCCGGGGGGCTGCTGGACGACCCGATGGCGGCCCGGCTGCAGGCCAGCACTGGCCGGGCGGATGTGGAGGGTCTGGCGGGCGGAGTGGCCCACGGGTCGGCGCTGCTGACGGTGGGTAATCGCGGCATTGTGGTGGTGGAGGCGGAGCAGCTCTCAGCCAAGTGAGTGAGCGGACACCGGGAGGGGCTGACGGTAGGGGCTGACGGTAGGTGAAGTAGGTGAAGTAGGTGAAGTAGGTGAAGGCGTGCAAGTTGCATGCGCAGCGGTGAGGAAGTGCAGATGCGAGTGGCGTTTGGGAAATGAGGTTGAAGTGCAGGGAGTGGGTGCAACCTGCGGCGATAGAGGAAGCGAGCCGGAAAGACGAGGGAGAAATGGACGGAGCGAGAGCGTTCACCCCTTTCGCGATTATGTTTGGGAGGCTGTGGGGGTGCTTCGTGACCCCACCATCACCTAACGAATATAGGCACGGATATAGGCACAAGCGTGTGTGTGTGTGCGTCTTTGTTACACATCGATCCGGGCCTGACACCGGCCAGGAACACCTAACCGTGTACCCCAACGGGAACCACCGCCGAAGCATTTCTTCCTCCCTTGTAGGGGAAGAGGGGCGTGTTCGTGTGTGTGCGCCTGTATGTGTGTGTATGCTACACCTTCTGGAGTTGCATTACCCTCCGAAGGCGTACCTAGGGGGGCCCATACCAGCATGTAAGAATGCAAGGCAAGAATGCGACCCTCTTTTAAGTTTGGTTGGGAGTCCGTCCGCCGGTGCGTATTGCTGCCTCCATCCGTGGTTCGTCTTTCCTCCATCCTCCCTCTCCCGCCTGCTCCCTCAGACACAAGGCACAGCTATGCGACACTCTCAGCAAGCCGGTAGTTACCCTGGCCCCTGGCCGGCCCGAGCTATCCATACCCGTCACCGCCACCGTATGGGCATCCGCCTGCCGTCACGCAACCTCTGACGGCGGCGGCGCCGCCAGTAGCATGTACGGCAGCCGGGGGCGCCGCGGCGGCCGCGGTGCTTACGGCGGCGGTTTCGGTCCAGTCCCCGGCAGTTGCCGCGGCGGTTGGTCCGGTTTGGACGAGAGCAGATTCGATGTGGTCTTGGAGCTGCCGCCGAATGATGACGTGGCGGCGACATTTGCTTTAGATGCAGGTTCACTCGGCGAAGGAGCTGCAGCTGCCGCAGATGGTGGGTCTAACCCTGACCCTTCTTAACGTTCGGATAGCAACGCAGCAAGGACCCTGATCCTTCACGTCTGGAACAGATAGCAACGCAGCAAGCACATAACTCACCACACCCTCCGTACGATGCCGTACCAACCGCTGCAACCCTTTCCGCTTTCTGCTTTGCCGTACGGCTTGCACGTCGCCTCTTGCATATCAGGCCTGGACGAGGTGTACATGCGCGATGCGTTGCGGTCCCACGTGGCGGCCGCGGCGCTGATGTCCCCGAGTCCGCAGCTGAGTGACGCGGCCTTGGAGCTGCTGATGAGATACTACGTGGCAGTACGACAGTCGGGAGTGCAGGTACGTGTTAATGGACGACTGCATGGTTTGGGAGTTGGATGTGTGTGCGGCTCGGCCGGAACGTGCTCGGGCCGTGGGTTAGTGTCCCTCGTCTGCTGCTATGGCATCGCCGTGGCGGCCATGCAGCGCCACCATCATGCTGGCCAGGTGGCCGAGGGCACATACAATCGAAGGTCGGGGGCGCCGCGGGCTGCGGAATCCCCCCCGCGTGAGGGGGGTTTTCCACCAAGGCTGATCGCATGATTGCCGGCGATTCAGGGGGCCCTAAGCGGGGCCCAGTTAACGCCTGCCGCTGCCGCTGCTGTCGCTGGCGCCCTCCCCACCATACACATACATACACACGTGTCTCTCGTGCTCCTCCAGGTGACGCAGTCCGAGGTGCTCCGAAGCCTGGTGAAGCTGGCTACGGCCTCAGCCCGACTACACCTGCGGTGTCAGGTAGGTAGGTAGGTAGGTAGGTAGGTAGGTAGGTAGGTAGGTAGGTAGGTAGGTAGGTAGGTAGGTAGGTAGGTAGGAAGGTAGGAAGGTAGGAAGGTAGGAAGGTAGGAAGGTAGGAAGGTAGGAAGGTAGGAAGGTAGGAAGGTAGGAAGGTAGGAAGGTAGGAGGGTAGGAGGGTAGGAGGGTAGGAGGGTAGGAAGGTAGGAAGGTAGGAAGGTAGGAAGGTAGGAAGGTAGGAAGGTAGGAAGGTAGGAAGGTAGGAAGGTAGGAAGGTAGGAAGGTAGGAAGGTAGGAAGGTAGGAAGGTAGGAAGGTAGGAAGGTAGGTAGGTAGGTAGGTAGGTAGGTAGGTAGGTAGGTAGCGGGGCTGCGGGAGACTGGGTGATGATGGCGGGGTGGGGTGGTTGGGTGGGGTGGATGGGTGGGGTGGTTGGGTGGGGTGGATGGGTGGGGTGGTTGGGAAACACGGCCTTCATGCCATTGCTGCAGGGGCTGGCGAGTTGAAGATGCGGAGGACCGCACGGAAATTTAGGCAGGGAAGGGGAAGCATGAGAGCAGCCAGCCAACCAGTGGTTGTAAAGAGGCTGTAAGAGAGCAACCACCCTGGCAGCAAGGCATCCTCGTGCGGGCCCCAGCAAAATCCCCATACAGCGATTGGGGCCGTGGCTGAGTTCCCATAAAGTGCTGCAAGGATTTCCCTTTCCCCCTCCGATCCTCCGCCGTACGTGGCTCCCGCCGTACGTGGCTCCCTTCTGTTTACATCCTTCACGGCAGGTGCTGGAGTCGCCTGACTGTGTGCTGGCGGTGCTGCTGATGGAGCGGACGCTGTCAGGGCGCTTCGGGGACTCGTACATGGGGCTGGGGTTGCCGCCAATGCCGGAAGGCACGGGGCTCGGGGATGAGGGTGAGGGCGACGAGTCCATGGAATGGCAGCTGGACGGCGGCGGCGGCGGCAGCCATGCTGACAGTGTCGACGCTTCGCTTCAATGCATGAAGGGGACACTGGCGCGATGCCTGCGGGGCTTCACGCCAATCGACTGGCAGGTGACGGAGTAGGTAGGTTACCAGGTCGCGGCACATGGCGGGATCAAATGGCGGCGGGTGTGGGTCGATAGGTGATTATGGTAAAAATAGCTCCGTGGAATACGCGGGTTTACGGGAGACTGGCTGGGTTAGCTTCGTTTCGTACTCTTATGCAGGATGGAGGCCTAACATTTCCTAGATATATGACTATGTTTATGAGCATTGATCCGGTGACGAGCACGTATTGTTGGCATCAGGGCACTGGATATCTGTAGTCGAAAGCTGTGCGTGGTGTAAGGTATGTTAGCAGGTGCTAGTTGAACAGGTGGTGAGAATGGGGCAAGACCGACTGACTTTTTAGTACTGTTGAGAGTTGCCTGCACAGCCACGAAACAGCACGGAAGTCATTAAAATCGCTGGCGTAGGGACACAGAGGCGCCATTAAAGCGTGGCCACCAGAAAGCTGACTTCCCGTGTCTAGGTGTGTGTATATAGGGCTAGGCGTTACGTTGGAACAGTGCCTTTTGAGATAAATAAATGTTCCTCAGCTTTTCAATCCAGGCCCACGACAAGTACCTGTCGCAATGCGAGTATCGTGTGGCAAGAGTGAGGCTTGAATGGATTTTTACACCCGCCCCCAGCCCTTACACCGCCCAGCTGAGGTGGCGCGAGGTACCAAGTTTTTAAACTCGGTTACTTCTAGAATACGCCACCAAAAATGCAAAATCGCCAGGCAGCGATCAAGCTGCGGGTTCCTCCCCATTCTCACACGCCACGATCAAACTCCTCCTTCTTCCTCATGCCTACCCTCGAGGCTTCCTTCCATCACGGCATCAAGCAAAATGGGTGGGTGGGTGTGTAGGTGTGTAGGATGGATTATACAATCACACTATGACAACGAATGTCAGTCTCACACCCCGGACAAGGCAGACAGTAGCTCGTACACAGACTCGAACCCAAGACTGAGGAATGAGCCTTAACTGGTGATTCGTGAGACACACCGCCGTGAGACACACGCACCCCACCCCGTGCTCTCGGTCACCGAACTGCCAGGCCTGGACGCCTCAACAAGGACTCGTCCAGTCCTACAGGCGCCCCGCGCGCTAGGGACGTAAGAAGCCAGTCAGGGAAAGTTCATACAATCAAAAGCTGGTCCGCCATCCTGTCATACTCTATGAAACCCCGCGCCATCGCCTCGTACAGCCTCTTGTCCTCTCCCTGCCTGGACCTGTCCTCATCGGCCGTTTCAGCCGGAGATACACTTGCTTAGCCTTGCGCTGCACCAGTCAAGCACCACAAGACCTTACTTCTTGGCCTTCTTGGGCTCCGAGGCCTTGACAGTCAACACGTTCTTCTCTTTCTGGATCACAACGGAGAAGGTGCCGACCACCTGCAGTTAGACACACCACACACGAAGAGCCAACCTTGGCAAAACGCAGATGACAGAATTAAACGTTGCGAAACCAAGCCCTTGCATTAATCAAGGTAATGGAGAGAAGGGCTTGGCCAACGTGTGTAGTGGAAACCCCTTGGGACCAGCGTAATAGCGCTGGTCTAGGACCTTGTTGTATAGGACACCCCAAGTGACGTCCAGAAGCCATGCCAGTATGCTTGAGACTCAGACAGCAAGTGCGCTGAGTGAAGAATGAGCGCGCCAGCTTCCAGACCCTGCAGCTTCAGGTCTTGACTCGGACGATTACGGTGTTCGTTGTTTTAGGTCCCACTGAGATCTTGGCAAACGCCTGGGCTATTGTACACTACTACATCTCTATACACGTGACGCCGTTCCCTGCGCGAGCACACCGCGCAAGGACAACCCAACACACCTCAGGATGGAGGCGGATAGAGCACTCGTAGGTGCCGACCGACTTGATCTCCGGCAACGTGATCTCGCAGTTGCTGACATTCTGGCCTGTTTGGAGCAGAATGGCATCGGCAACCTCCTGCACTTGCACACTGCCGTAGATCTGGTCCTTGTCACCCGTCTTCTTCTTGATCATGAACTTGCCAATGGTAGCCAGCGCGTTGGCGAAGGCCTGCGCCTTGGCCTTCTCCTCCAGCTTCTTCCGGATCTCATCCTCCTTCTTCCGGCGGATTTGACTGCATTATAGGAGTGGGCGAAGGCACAGCTGACAAACAACTTGCACCGACAGAAATGGCAGTAGCGCATGGGAGCACGTTGGCGTGCACGCGACTTTGCGGCAGTTGAACCATCATAAAGAGCACCCCTCAAAGACCCCAAGCAACGGGTGGCGTTTCAGTGTTTTACCTATTAATATTGTCACCGAGCACGCCCTACATGACCTCGCCTAATGTACTGCAAAGGCTCCAAGATGCCTGCCTAAGCCATACATCAATACGTGCGCTTTACTGTGAGAATATATTGCGACTTTGGCCATTTGGACAATGCAGGGCAAAAAGCGTAGGATGTGATGAACCTGCACGGAAGATGTCAGCGGTTTGAACCTCGCTGGTCAGCGCATGTAGTACAGCAACTGCATGAGGGGCCATCGGACCTGTACGGCCCTTCGCATACAGCCCATCAACCCAACTATCTTTATTCCAGGTTGGGCATCACAACTTTTTTACCATGCCGCGTATTCCTCCCCTTACATTACATTACTCGTGAGATGCCTGGCGGGCCTCAAAAGCAGTTGTTCATGCACTAACTCGTGACGTCCTCAGCATTGCCCCGACAGACATACTGGCAACTACCACAATTACCCGAGACCCCATTGATGGACTTGACTACACGGAACGCCATCCAGGGCGCGAGACAACCCATATGAGCTCCTGCTCATGCTCCCCAGGCAAGGGCCAGCAGTTGTTCCGAACCTCTTATGTTTAGAGATCATACAAAAGGCCTCTGGGACTTATGCAACAGCATGTGCGGGAAACGACCACTCACGCTAGGATTGCGTCGCTGGCAATCTTGGCCATGCCGTTTGGCAGCAGGAAGTTCCGCCAGTAGCCCACGGGAACACTCTGCGAAATAAAGAAGGAATGCATAATCAGGTGGTCACAAGCAGGTCTGAGTTCAAATATGGTTGCCTTGCGCCAACAACACGTATTTACACTTTGATCAAACACCTAGTGCTCGAAGGGGTTCGGATACCAAAATGCTATGGGGAGAGCTGTTATTCCGGATATGGGTATGGTTGACAGGCGCACGCGTCTGGCGTAGGAGACCACGACACAGCAATACGGTGTGCAGGGGCCAAGCAGCTAGGCAGAAGCACAACTTCTATCCTTACACAGGGTTCGCGGACGCCCGAAAGGCTACCGGATAAGTGTGTCGTGTTCGAAAACCCCCCAGGGGAGCCCATACCCACCCGGATCTCGCCCTCACGGCCAACATTCGGAATGTCATTCACCAGGATGACCTGCATAGCGGGCACGGACAACGGTTGCCATGGTGACCAAGTACGGTCCCTTGCTGCGAGGCCCATATTAAAATTGAGGATAAAATTAAGACCGCACAGCTGTAAGGATATCACAGCACCAAGTCAATGCCAAATGCAAGGAAAGCCATGGTCCCAACTCGTGGCCGGCGCACCTTGGTCTTCTTCGTGACCTTCTTGTTGGCCTCAACAACCAGCGTAACACGAGAGGCCGGAGCACGAACTCCTTGAGGCTTGGCGGCCTTGAAAGCCGCACGGTTCTGCACCAAAAGGTTGGAGCGACGGCGGAACAGAGCACGACCAGTTTGCGGCCGCAAAATATAAAAGAATCCATAGCTTAAGAATTGATATTCACTTCTGCAAAAGTATTTGTGATGCTTACCAGGGGTGCGCCCCGGAGGGTGGTGCACATAGCCATTTTGGAATTCGGCGATAAAGTAAAACGCCTGACCTAGGCTTGTGGTTATTTGCAGCCTCCCCACCTGAACAAACAAAATGGCAGAATTGGAACCACGGAGCAGTACTTTTGGACGCAAACTCCGCCGTACATGGCACGGATACATCCATGCGAGGGCCAAGCTGATACGTGTCCAAGCCGTGGAAATTATACATCGTATCCTTACTTAATTTTGTGACAACTATTAGCTCCTGACCTCAGTGCCGCTCAGACATTTGTCTGCTTGAGCTATGCGATGCGCGACAGAAGAATAATCGTCCGGCAATACTGAATCACTGCATGTGCAATCTACAAGCCCTGTTAAGAGGACCTGTTTGCTGCAGCCATTCCTGTTGCCACGCTGTACGGTGCGCCCCTGACAAAACAACCCTTCATATGTCTCTGAAAGTGCTAAGCTCCTGCTGGCGGTGGAGGACCAAGTGCGCTGTAAACCCCACTGGAAATTGGATGTTTTCCTCCTTCCTTTGTGTCCCCGATCAAGGTACCTGACCACCCCACGGGACAGCGCGTGTCAATTAAAGGAGGCCTTCAGCCGTCTACCCGCCCTTTAGCGTTGCCCGTCTTCTGAGCTAGCTACTTGAATGGGTGCCGTTACAGTGATCCGACCTGATCACCTCAGCTGTTGCTTGCTGTGTCCGAGAAGCGCGCCAGCGGAAATGCTGGGTCTCTATTTGTTGCATTGCACAGGGAGGTTGCATGGGGAGGAAGTCCTTCGACACAAGCAAACTCCCCGACAAGAAGTCCTCTAAAATCGCGGCCTCCTTACATAGCTTCGTGTGGCCGCGAGGCCCCTGCATGTGGAGGTGGTCTGCCCGAGCGGCTGCTCGGAACGTCATGCATCAGATTCAGCAAGCCACGTGATTAATAATTCCGTCGGATATCCTCATGCGAAGCTGTTGTAGTCGAAAAGGGGGTTGCCTTGCTAGGCCCACTTGGATTGTTGTGGGAATAGAGGCAGGAGGGACGGGGGGTATCAGCGTCGTTCGCTCCCTCTCATGATCAGTTTGATGCTTTTATGGCAGCTGAAGCCCATTGGAACACCTGACAGCTTCTGAAATGTTGGAAAGGAAGAAAAGGCTCAGACCATGGGGCCATATAGGTCACGCTGTTCAGTTCATGCATATAGATGTAGAACGTAGGGCAGATCTAGGTACTCGCCTCAAACATGGTTGCCCCCTTGGTGCCCTCTTAAAATCCCCTTCCTAGCAGACCGCGCCTTACGCGCGACCAGCTGCTCCTCCGTCAAAAAAAAGCAACGCAAGGCAACCAATTCCCAATGAACTCTCGCTCCCATTTGTCCTTGGGAACAGGGGTAATTGTTATATTTGCTTTCGTCATAGTTGTGAAATAATTGTGGGACCACGATAATCAACACTTTATCGTCCACACGAGCTTAGTTTTGATTTTCTTCTAACTTCTGATGCACTCGATCGAAGGAACAAAAGCGCAGGGTACTAGGGATTTCAGTGTCCTTGGTGGGGAAGGGAGCAGCCGGCGGCCCAGGTTGGCCCGTACATGTCATACTTCCACATTACGCCACGCCTGTCCGTACGAGAAATTAAATTTGGGGACGACGTGTGGCGGCAGTATAAAATGTAGCAGCTTATCCCGGGTCCCAAGACGAGGATCCCTGGGGCACAAAAACTCGTTGCAACAGACAGATATGGCGGCGTAAGTTCCCCCGTGCGTCGCCAGGAATCGAGCCCCTTAATTCCCCTCTTTCACTGCTCCTCTATCCGCGTAGCACGTCGCCCTTCCTTCCCAAACGGTTCACCCCGCGACTCGTCCCGCCATAGAACGTCTTCATCAAGCAGCAGCTGCCGATAGGTCGAATGCCGCTCCGAAACACACGGAATGAATAACCCACAACCGACCCCGCGGTCCGAATCTGAGCGTTCCCGACCTCTCTCGACCGCCTCCTTTCTCCGCTCTCCCTCCCCGCCCTGCCCCTCCCCTCCAGCTCCCCCGTGCCCGTCTGGACGGACCTCCCGATTGAGAAGCGGAGGAGGAAAGAAACGCAGCGACAGGAACGAAAACCCCGGTAGTGGTGGTGGTGATGGCGGCGGCAGGGGGACAAGCAACCCTCAACCAACAGCGACAGTTCAGCGTCGCCGCGTCACACCTCACACAGTCATCCGCTATTCATCCCCAAATTGAAAAGCCGGTCCGCTCCTCCTCTTACCTCCCCCATCCCAGAGACCTGTGCCGGTTTCTGCATTCCGCTGCGAAGATCTGCACCGTTTAGCCCAGCCCTCAGCCCAGCCCCGGATCTCTTAATTCCAGGAGTCCCTCACTGTCCATTCCCAGCCGCCTCCTCCTCCGCCTCCTCCTCCGCCCCTCACCGCCTTTGTCGTCCTCCTGGTCGTCGATCCCCTTCCCCTCCCTGCCGTCACCCGTTTCTTCGTTCCTCCCTAGTTTCCTCCCTAGTCACCCTCACGCAACCGTGTCCTGAGCACCGCCAGCCGCCGCCTGAGCAGCCACCCGCTGTGCCGCCACCCGGCGTCTGAAGAGCGCCTCGCCGCGGGAGATGAGCGACCACTGGCCCGCCTCACGCTCCAGGGAGGTCATGGAGGAGGCAGACGAGGTGGTGTCGGCAGCAGCAGCAGCAGTGCGCCCTCGTAGCTCACACGGAAGCGCGGCGGCGGTGTTTGTGAAGAGCTGCACGGGGCGGTGAGGGGAAGGGAAATGGAAGTCGCGAGAGAGGCGGGGGAAGACGGACGGGCGGACGGACGGACACGGGCCTGGGTTGGAGACACGGCAGCAGGACGTCCATGTAGGAAGCTCCGAAACCAGAAGGGAGCAATGAAATCATCTCATTTAACCTTGGGTGTGGAGCAGCCCTCGTTGGGTGGTGGACTCCTGAACCCAAAAGCGCTCCCTGCAGCTCCCAATCAGCCGCCATGCCCTCCCCTACCTCTCCCCCTTTCTTACCGCGCCCCTCCCAGCCCCAGACCAGCAAGGTGCCCTCTTTGGGATAGTTCGCCCCTCCTCCCCTGTCCGCCTTCACCTTTACCCCTCCCCGCCCCCTGTACCGGCCAATACTCCGTTATCCCCCCGTCCATTTGTTGTCCCTAACTTTAAGTCTCTTTATGTCGCCCAGGCGCCCGCCCCGGTAAGCCCTCCGGGAGCCCAACCAGCCACCCCCCACCTGCACACTCCTCCCGCACATCCCAGGGCCTCCATTCCGGCCTCTCTTTACCTTCCTGTCGCCCGAATACACACACATTACACGGCTCATGTGCCATCTCTCGCCACCCCCCACCCCACCTCACCCAACCGGCAGCTTTCATTTTCCCATCCGACCTCTCCCCGTGCGATTTCCCTTGTTACCTGGCCCTCCTCCTTCCCCACCCCGCTCAGCCAGCAGCTTGACCATTTACTTCGTGCACATAACTTTCCCTTACCCAATCCCTTTGCACAGAACTCCCACCCACACCTTCATCCCCCATCCCTCAACTCGGAAGCCCTGTCTCACATTGAGCACCACGAAGGCCAGGATGGGGCTGAAGTCCAGCGTGCCCCCCAGCGGCGGGATAAGGCCCCGGAAGAGGTTCAGGTAGGGATCGCACACGGTGCTGGGGGGGCAGGGGGGCAAAGGATTGGGGGAAAAAGATGAACCACGGGCGAGTGAGGATTGCGGGGAGAAGAGGGGACACGGATTGCGGGGAGAAGAGGCGACAGGGATTGCGGGGAGAAGAGGGGACACGGATTGCGGGGAGAAGAGGGGACACGGATTGCGGGGAGAAGAGGAAAGTAGGGGATCGCCCGGGACCGAGAGGCTGAGGAGGGAATTAAAGGGGTGTGTGCGTGCCGGGCGTGCTGAAGATGGTTGCGAACGTGACGAGGAAAGAAGCAACGACATTACTCCCCTACTGGCTGTCAACAAGGCGGTAAAACAGGTGAAGGGAGGCGAGGACCAGGGGGGACAGCCGCATGCGGAGGCGGCGAACGGGCTCCGATCGCGCTGGCAATGGCGGTGCTAAGTTTCGCGGCAACACGTGCAAAGATGCACATCGAATTACTCGCAAGATGCTAATAGTGCTTTGGCCGTAGCGGTGACGGCCGCGGTGGCGGCTGTAATGCATTTCTTGGTGATGGTAGTAATGATGATGGAGATGATGATGATGATGATGATGATGATGTTGATGTTGATGTTGATGTGGGTTGAGTGACTTACGCGAGGGGGCTAACGATTGCCGCCGGCGGGTTGGGAAACCAGGTCAGCACCAGCCGCACGATGAGGGCGGTGTTGTACAGGTTACTGAGTGCGGACGGGGGGTGAGGGAGGGAGCGGGGGGGGATGCAATCATCAGTGACGGTCTAGCTGGAATAGGGTGGAGATTGGTACGAATGGGGACCACCTTGTAGACCGTTGCATGCTGTTAGCTGAGCCGACCTTCGACATAAATGTGTACGAATTGGACCATAGTTATTGCTCGTGTACATGTATCAGTTAGGGAAGCCCGATCTGAGACGTCCTTCCGCATAGCCATGGCCAAAAGACTTTCGGTGGTAGGGAAGCATGAACTACTTCTATGTTTATGACTTCCCGCCGGGTTTACCTCCCTGCATGCCTTTCCTACAAGCCCTGAAATCGCCACGCCAAAGCATCATGCCTTTATTACGCGGCTTGCGCATTCGCTGCTGTTGATGTTGCTCGTCTGTCACCCGTCAACTCGCGTCAAATACCCTCCCGCGGCTCACAGGAAGTTGTTGATGCCGTTCGTCAGCACCAACTCAGCGGTGGAGTCCCCAGGGATAATGGCGGCTACCGCGGCGTGACGAGGAAGCACAACGATGCGGGGAGGCAGCCGAGCCTCGCTGTTGAGCGTGAGACAGGGACAACGGCATTAAAGAGGCCAGATGACGTCATGTATGCGGTGTTATGACTATTATAGAGTAAGGAGACTGTTTAGATGCAGCAGAACAGCAAGTTTATTGTGCCCCTGCGGGTGCGCCTCGCATCACCACACGCGCAGAGTGCGATGGGCCGAGCACCCACCTCCTCTGCTCCATGTGCTTCGCTTGAAAACGCTTCAGTGCCAGTGATGCATTCTGAGCAAATGGGTGCTGCTGTGCGGCGCGCAGGGCGCCGTTGAAGAACTGGCCCACAGCCGCGATCGGGTTCTGCTCAACCGTCATGTTGTCAACTATGAAATAACCTGATTCTGAAAGGGAAACATAAACACACGAAAATAACCGGAGTCAGTGGGTCTGCAGCCAACTGGCCACGCAAGATTCGCGGGAGTTGCTGCCGTACTAACTGTTTATCACAAAGTCATCGAAAAGGGTGTTGTCGGAATGCCGTGAACTTACTGTCATAATAATTGTGACATATTATGTTATCTGATATTGCTTCATTGCTCAAGGACGCGGGGCGAACTCTGTCGGAGCTGCACCTGCCTTCGTCCTATTCAAGTTTATTTCCGGGATGCTTAACGAATAATTAATACGACTACTTGAATATACTCAGCTGCTCAGCCTTTGCAGGCCTTTCAGACGCAGGCAGTTGGTGGACTTTAGGCATATTGTCAACGGCGAGCTAGCTCCCTTTCCATACGGCTTCGTTTTATTTACATCAGGCATATAGAACTGGCGATTCGAGCCTTTACAGTTGTTGGGGGCAAGAGTGTTGCGTCGCGGAAGAGGATTTGTGGAAGGAGTGTCGGGATCAGGAGTAACGGCAACAGAATCAACAGCCACTGCAGCAGCAGCAGCAGCAGCAGCTGGTGCGCAAGAGTCCAGGAACACCCCTCGGGCGTTGGGCGCGACAAAGCTTCTTCTCCAGGCAAAACCCTACAACGCCGAGGCTCCCTCCAGCCGGCTGACTTCCGGCGTCAGCCTTCACGACAGAAACCACGCAACCCGCAACAATCATCCGACACCCTGGTGGGCGGCGACCACAACAAGCTAGTTGGCGCCAGCAGCACGAAGTCCCGAAACAACCATAGCGCAAGCACCACTACCAAAACCACATCCAGCATCAGTCCCCGCGCCAGCGGCCTAAGCACCACGCCCAGAAACAACAGTGACCAGGACGGCACCATGTCCTGGACGTGCCATGGCAACAACAACGCGAGCATGGTGGCCGCACTCAAAAGTGAGAGCTCCCACCATCCACACACGGTCCCCCTATGGAGGGGGCAGGGAAGGCGGGGAGGAGGGAAAGAAAGGGGGAGCGAGAAACCCCCCACCCTCGCCCGAGGGGCACAGTGCCACTTCCCCCACCTCTCAGTCATGCTACATGGGCGGGCGTCGGGCTGAGAGCTTTAGAGAGGGTCGCGGTGTAGAGAGCTCGTTGGTGTCCCTGACGAAGGTCAGGCAGGAGACAGATATGAAAACAGTAATGGAGTTCTTAAGCGGAGGTAGAAGGAAGGGAGGGGCTCTGCTGGACTCGCTTTCTGCCGACACAACCGCCGTCTCTGCTGTACACGGCTGCAGGAGCTGGAATCATCTGTGCCCCGACGGTGGAGGAGGCGATGAACTCGGTAGACCGGGGCTTGTTTGTGCCACCTGGCCAGATAAGTGGCAATGGCGGGTTGTGGTGGCATGGTTGAGGAGAGGAACGTGACGGGTAGGGTGGGGGGAAAGAAGGGGGAAATACCCGGAGGGGGTAAGTCCGGTGGATTAGGAAAGGAGGCTTGGTAGACCACACCGAACACTCGAACACCAGACACCAACATTAACAGGGACCGTTTTACAAACGGCGTGGTGGCGGGTTTGTTGATGTTGTTGTTACAGGGTGGTTATGCTTCACCAGTGGCCTCCTTCCCGAGGCAATTCCCTGCTCTCCCCCGGTAGAGGGGCACCCTAAGCCATTCACCCCTTCCGACTTCAGAGTGTACTCTTTGAGTTTGGCAACTCACCACCAGCATCTAACCAAATCTAGCGGATCAACGGCGCCTCAACTTAGTTCCTGGTCAGCTCGGTTTGTGTGTGGGGGGGTAGGGGGAGGGGGATAAAGCCCATGTGTTTTTGTACCATGCCGTTCCCACGCACACCGTGTAGTTATTTCCCCTCCTGTTCTTCCTGTTTGCCTTCGCACACGCTCCCTATCAGGACGCGCCGCAGGCCCTGGGTTTCGGAGCCACCATCAGTGCGCCCCACATGCATGCTGCGTGTGTGGAGCTGCTGGCGGAACAGCTCAGACCTGGGGCCCGGGTAGGGGGACGTGGGCCGGGGTCAGGGGGGGGACGGGGGAGGTAGGAACGGGATCATCGGGGTAGCGCGGGGCGCTTTCCGCGGGTGACCATCACTTGCCGTGTGTTATGCAGCAGCTACGGTAGCCGTGCTTGAATAATTTCAGGTCCCTCCCTGTTTTGCATAGAGATTCACTCGCATCTTGTTCCTCCCGTTTCGGCGGTTGGGGTTTGCTCTCCTTTGTCTGCGTGCACGTTATTCCCTCTTTACCACAGCAGCAGCAGCCATAACAACAAGGACCGCTACAACCACAGCATTCCTAGTCGGGGCCTCCCTCCTAGAACCCTTCTCTTCACCCCTCCTCCCCTCGGCTCCCTCCGCACACCCCCTCCAAAGGTTCTTGATGTGGGCTCTGGTTCGGGCTACCTGACCCTGGTGTTCGCCTACCTGGCTAATAGAGGTCCCGGGGCAAGGTGGGCGCCAAGAGGGGGGAGGGGAGAGACGAGCCACAGACAAATGAGGGGGCCAAGTGGGGGGGGGAAAAGGGAGCCCCGGGAAGAGGGATGTTTAGGGGCCTGCAATGGAAGGAAAAACTATTGAGGGTTTTGTGGAGGAAAGGTGATCGCCTGTGGGGCTCCTGTTTGTGTTCCATGCTTTGCGTCTCGAGTGTAATCCTCGTAGTCCATGTAGGGTCTTTGTTTAGCCACCTGCCCTCTCCGCCCACCATGTGTGCACCTGTCTCCTCCGCCTGTCTGTCTGTCTGTCTGTCTGTCTCTATCTGTCTTGTCTTGGTTCGCTTATTCCCCAAGATGTCCCCCATTCTCACTCCAACAGCCCCCCAGTTCGCGCTTTTTAAGACGTGGGCAGCTGGCCCGTCAATCCTTTTTGCCTACTGGTTCACCCCGTTCCCTCTCGTGAGCTCCTCCCCTTCCTGTGCGGTGATGGCCCCCCGCTGTCTCCCTCTCCCCCGCCCTCTCCCCCGCCCTCTCCCCGCCCTCTCCCCGCCCTCTCCCTTGGGGACCTCCAGGGTGGTGGGTGTGGAGCACATCACAGAGCTGGTGACCGGCTCCAGGGACGCAGCCCGGGGTATACCCTGGGCAAGGGAGATGATGGCTGAGGATAAGCTCAGGCTGCTGCAGGTAGGGGTGGGGTGGGGTGGGGTGGGGTGAGCGTTTAAGGCGGCCCAAACCGCGGCAGTTGAGAGGTTCGGGTATGGCATCGCGTCTCGTCTCGTCTCGTCGTTGTTCCTCCGCCTGTTGCTGCTTGTGCACGCTGCATTGTGAGTCTACCTGTCCCCCCGTCTCTCCGTCCGTCCATCGTGCTTATTCGTATTCTCCACCGTCCAGCAGCTGCTGCTATCCTCGCCATGCCTCTGCCTTATAATTTAACACACATCACCCCTGCGCCTGCTCCTGCTGCCTCCCCACTCGCTCCGGTTGTTTCTTTGACGCCTCGCGTACCCCCCAACCCCCGCACCCGTCCACATCATCCGCAGGGCGACGGCCACGCGGGGTACCCCGAGTGGGCCCCCTTCGACGCCATCCATGTGGGTGCAGCTGCTCCCGCAGTGCCCCCCGCCCTGCTGGCCCAGCTGGCCCCGGGGGGGAGGCTGGTGGTGCCGGTGGGGCCCGAGGGGGGACCGCAGCAGCTCGTAGTGCTGGATAAGGACGCGCAGGGGAGGGTCACTGCGCGGAAGGAAATGGGAGTCATGTGAGTGTGGTGGGGGGGGGGAGGGAAAGGGGTTGGGGAGGGGGTTGAGCGAAGGAGAAGCGAAGTATCTAATTGCCGACTGCCGGAAAGAGGGCGGGAAGGGGGAGGGGCGCCGGCGTGTTGAGAAATAGTAAAAGGAGACGCATTGCGCAAACTCCACCCTTTGTCTGGCCTGTCTGTCTGTCTGTCTGTTTCGCTGTCTGTCTCGCCTCGCTGTTTGTCGGACTGTCGGACTGTCATCTATGCATCCGCTTCCCCAGCCAAGAAGCATTCACCCGTCTGTTTCATGGCGCCCGCGTGCCACCGTGCTGTTTGCTCTGCTTCCAGGTACGTGCCGCTGACGTCGGAAGCGGCCCAACGGGGGAAGGCTGCCTCCATGGCGGCCGCATGTAGCCGGGCACCGGCTGCGGTGGGGGAGGGATCCCCCAGGGGATAGGAGGGGGGTTATAATACGGCTGGACGGCTGGAAGCGACATCGCGGGCCTAGATGGAGCTAAAAGGGGGCAGAGAAGAGGTGGTCAGGAAGCCGACACCTGCAACCAGGTTTCCTGACTGTAACGTAGCTCATCCGGCTCAGCCACGGGTTGTAGGCTGAGGCTCCCGGAAAGAGGGGTCCCCCCGTATTGGCAGGAGAAGCAGAACCACTAGTCGGCTGCAGCAGCAGCAGAAGCTCCATGCAGAGCGATGAGGAGCCACGGGGCGTGAGTCCTTTACCTCCTTTACCCTTGAAGAAAGGCCGGAGCGGACAGGAGAGGGGCAATGGATGCATCATCATATGTATGCATGCGCACAGAGAGAGGTTGAGCGGTTGAGGAGGTTGCACGAGTGGGGGGTGGGGAGTTCACTACCGTTGACACAGTCCTCCTGATCTTTGATGGAGATGGAGGCGATGGAAGAAAGCCTCTGCTACACGAGGGGTAGCTAGTCTCGGTCGCCTTGGGAAGCTTTGCGGACATATGTGTATACGCAACTGCGTGTGAATGGGTGGGTAGTACGGTGCATGTGCGAAGAAATGGCCGTCAGCGGAATAATACTCCATCCTGCCTCCTTTTTTTGAACATGCACTGCATCTTTCCTCGTTGTTGTGTTGTTGCCTCTTGTCGGAATGGTTTCTAGCACACGATCAGCAGTGGCTTGTTGGCGGGATGGGCGGAGGGAGGGAGGCAGGGCAGGAGCTAGCCTCAGTATCCACCCCGTATCACCCCATCACGACTTTTGCAGCGGCAGTGGTGATTGTGGTGGCGGTGGGGTGGCTGGTGGTGTTGAGTGCAATAACAATGATTGGAGGTCGGATAGGAGGGCTGTTGTTTCAGGTAGTGGTGGTGGTGGTGGTGGTGGTGGTGGTGGTGGTGATCTCTGGGACGGCCAATGGGTACAGGCACTGAATAGAGGCAGTAGTGGTTCATGGGTAGGGTGTGATGAGCACGTACGTCGGAAAGGGAATGGGTGGGGCGGGTGTGGGGCCAGTGTGATGTCCTTTCGGTAGTTATCAGTGTACTGCGAGTGTACGGCAGTACAGCAGTTTGCAAAGCGAGGTCGGTTTTTGTTGTTGCTGCTGTTGTCGTGGTTCTGGATTAAGGACGAGACAGAGTTTGTCGTGCGAAGAATGATGCAATGCATGCAAAGGTAGAGATGTCAAGCGAGGGGAGTTGAAAAGGAGGGGGAGTCGATGCAGCGAAACCGACCTGGGCCACACAGCCTCACGTGTGCCCTTTGGCACAGAGGGTCCTGGAGCCGCCACAATGAGCAAAGACACGCGGGGCCTTTGGCTAATTAGACACTTCTTGTAGGAAAACACCATCGTAACGCAAACGCCCAACCGCCAAATTTCCTGTATGTGTGTGTACGGACTTGCGGACTGCTAACCGAAATTTCTCAAAGGCAGAGGATTTGACTTTCGAATTCATGAAGCATTTTGGTTTTGTATTAAGCGCAGGCTTTCTGCGCAAGTTCTCGCGCACGCAGGCCTGCTGCCGGCTAGGCTGTGTGTGTGCCTGCGTGGGAAGGAGTACGTTGCAGTGTCCGGACGGAGTGCCGAGGAAGTGAGGTATGGATCCATGGAGATGGGTTCAGTGGGTGGAGGTCATAGCCTCCATGAGGGGCTTTGTGTGTGTGTGTGTGTGTGTGTGTGTTACATGGTTGGGGGTGCGTGACCCCATACCTGTAAGACTACCCGTACGAGCCGAAGGCCCAAGGGCAATATCTATACGCCTAAAAGCCACGGAGGACAGGAAACACCGCACTATCAGCCCAGACTAGCGCCCAAAGCGGATAACTGAGTTGCGGTGAGCCCACATACGTTTCAACATCCTCGTCAGATGTGCTGGCTCCCATTCCATGCGGAGCTAACTGCACGTCATATGTGTGTGGACCTGCCTGTGCGGCTGATGGCGTTTCAAGTCTTCTCAGAGAAACATGACGGTGCCGTGAGGACTGCCTGGCTGGCTGAAGGGTTGTAGTAGCTAGGTATTACAGCGAGAGCCCCAGATAGACCCCCTCGAGGGAGTATATAAAAAAGTTAGGCTGGTAGGGGCCCATCGATCGGGGGTCACAACGGACCGCCGTTCACTGCATTACTGGGAATCCTGACACGACAACATGGATTGGTGTGGTACCAGTCTTGGGGAAATGGGTCACCGGGACACATCTTGCAGGAGGAGCGCGGCGCTCGGCTTTCTATGTGCTGGAAGCGCTCTGAAGCTTTTTAATTAAGGCTCGGATGACCAAGCTGGATCGAAGCCCAACTTACGGATTCCAGGCAAAGCATAGATCGCAGTAACAGACATGCGTGAAGTTTCAGAACATCGAGGTTGAGGGGAGCCTACTTGAAAGGACCAGGTAAGGGACCTGTAAGAGACTGAAAGAGTCTCGAACAGGCCGGCCAGTCACAAAAGATGGTCAATTTGGCGGGGGAAATCAAGCTTCTTTGTAGACGCTTCTTTGCAGGCTGGAGCATTCACGTTTTCGTTGATCTGGACTTCTGGCTCCATTGCTGGTTCCAGGCGCATGGCGGCAAAGGGGCAAACTCTAAATCGATGGTGGCAGGCCCACGAATGCACGAGCTCCAAGCTTTGTAGGAGAAGATCTTCACAGATTACATAGGACTACTTGCTGCTATTACCCTTGCTCGTCAGGAATTTTAGCAGCCCCTTGCGGAAATAATATGTCGCGGCGTGCCGGAGGCGGTCGGGGAAAAGCAAAGAAGGATGACCTTGCTAAAGCTGCCGCGGAGGTGAGGAACACTCGAAGCAAAAGCTATAAGCCTAACGACCGTTATGATACGATGTTGCGCAGTTCCGCTGCTGCAGCTGATTTCGTCCGGTCTCCTCAAGTTTTTGAGCGCAGAGGCGCGCCTGAATCCTTTAACGCTGAGACTGCTCTCCCGTACTGGTTTTGACAAGGAACATACTCCTTAAAGAACATCTGGATTTGGTTTAATTGCTGGCTGCAGGTCCTGAACAATATTAACGTCGCCCCGACGCCCGCGCGACCAACCACCTCGGGCGGCTTGTTGCGCGCCTCAGGCGAAGATGGTGATGTGGCAACCGATATAAAGCCCAAACATCTTCTCGCCCTGAGCGGACAGGAAACCTCTCCTCCTCCAACAACAACGCGACAACCTCCTCCACTCGCTACCGAACAAGGTCTCTTCGCTAGCAGAGACGGGCCTCCCACAGCCGCAGCTGAGCCCGCCGGCATCGGCCAGACTGGCGCAGGGCTGCTTGACGGCATTGGCGACGATGGTCTGTCTGGCGGCAGAGCCGACGTCGTAGACGGCGGCGGTGACGGCGCCGGCAGTCCCGCTGGCGGCGGATGTGCCGAGGCCCGCCCATCGGCGCTCAACACACCATTACCTGTACCGCTAGCGGATCAGCCCAATTGGCCGCCGCGACGCATCGCAGCGATGAGCCACATCGCGGCGGCGGTGGCGACGGCAGCAGCCAGCATACGAGATGCCGTGCTGGCAGGCATCACACGCCTTAAGAGTCGCGGCCTCGCCTCCTCTTACGCTGGCGGCGATGTGGACGGGGAATCCTTTGTGCTCGCCGTGCCTGGCGGCGTCATCCCCGTGACCGCCAAGGCCGCCGCGGCGGTGCTACTGCTGCTGGTGTCGCTGCTGGTGTTGAGCGCTTCCGGCTACAGCCTTGCGCGTGCCACAAAGCGTGCTGAGGCGGCTTTGCGCTCGGAGGTTGGGGAGCTGCGGCAGCAGCTGCTAGCATGGCGGCAGGAGGCTGCTGACGCGGCAGATGCGATCACTGCAGATTAC